AAGCTGTTGATACTTGATTTGTTTTTGCTTTATCTCTCACTCATTTAGATAATATTTCAGAGAATGTTCTTCTGAAATAAAATATAAACCTTTCCCATTTTTTGCATTTAATTTTAAATAATGAGAAAATAAAAATAACTGCAAGAAATACTTAATGTGGAACATTTGCTCTAGCATTTGTTCAGTTTTGTCCAACAGTGTTGTTGTGACCTCCCAGTTTATGTCCTGTTAGTTAGCTAGTGCTGCTGTGTTAGATTTAATCTACAGAGAAAATTCAATCATTGGCACAGCCCGTCATTTCAGATTGTTTAATCTGGTTTGTTTAGGTTGAGTGTGTGAATGCTGAGCCGCTTTATACATTTCAAATTGAGCCTTTGTTTGCTTTATGGAAATTGTAACTTTTGTTCTTACAGTTATACATTTCTTTAAATTAAATTTCATTATTTTGATTATTTGTAAGTGAAGGTGTTTTATCCTAACTGGCATAATGGAGGGGTGTGTCTGATTCCAGATCACACAGTAAATACAGTAGTAGTCATTCAAAATTTGGCTGGTCCTTGGCTAGTCCCCTACGATTCCTTTTTAAACATCTATCTTTGTGCTAAAATATTCTTTCTGTCATTATTTGTCGACATTAAGATCTAAAGAGAAGTGTTATCTCCTGGTCAGACCCTGTAATTCAGTGAAAGGGTGCAGTCAGAGTAAAAAAATATGCACGCTAATGAGAAGGCCAGGGGCTGGAAGTTGGAGGGGATTTTGCTGTCATCCGGCTGGCTTTTGACTGGGAAGGGCCATTTTGAATGGCTTCTACTGTAAACCTCAGAGTGCTCTGTGGGTTAGGAACCCTACCAACACCACAGCATGATTCCACCACCACCGTGTTTTTCTCTGGACATTGAAACAGATGTGTTACTTTCACTCCCGAAGAGAACCTTCTTCCATGTTTTTATGGCAAACAGGATTTCTTTTGGCTTTCTTTTATCTATGCCTTTCCTCTCTCCCCTTTCCAACTAAACGTATGTGGATTTGGTTTCTGTGTGAAGGCTCAGCAGTCATGTTCCCGTCTCTTTTGCCTCATAGCTCTGTGTGGGGGCTCTGTCTGTCTCTAGTGAACTTTTGACTTGTATCTGCTGTAATCTATGGGCGGATGTGGTCAGATTAGTGTGGATTTTTCTTGCTATCAGATGCTCAGATAAGATGACAGTCAGTTGGGATGTAGAGAGAACAAATCCTCACGTGCATATTTAGTGGTTAAACCCCCCCACATATGGTAGATCTGTTCTGCATCATGATGCCTGCTAAGTAGCTGTGGGAATATCACCCTACATTTTTTCCTCTTCGTGTTAAATGGTGTCCATTCAACACTTAGTGCAGAAATAAACAAAGGCATCAGAGAGATATTAAAAAACAGGCAGAAAAACAATCCAGCAGCTTTCAAAAGAAGGAAAATCCAAACAAGCTGGGAAGAGAACAATAATCTTTTAGGGCCAAAATAGTGCAAATCACATAAAAAAAAGAAAAAAAGAAAACGTATTATTCGCCACAGACATTAGAACAGTGTTATATATTCTTATTTCTTTTCCAGGATGTTGTAGATGCCAACTCTTAAAATCTCTGGGAATGTTTTTAAAGTGCCTAATATTAATATCTGTCTCATATGGAGCAAATTAGATTTTAATTTTGTACATCTGTCTGCACATTAGGCTGATATACATCAGTGCGTCAAATAATGAATAACAAATAATTCAATCACATCAATGCACCAGTAAGAAAAACAAACTTTGTCATTTTTAAGATACAGCTCTATTTTAAAATGTAATTGGCACAAGACTACAGTGAACATATATATCTATATATATATAGATATATATACCGTAGTATTTGTTCTAGCACCTTAAGCTAAGAGTGTCCTCCAGTGACACTTTTAGCGTAAAATTAGGTATTAAGTATTTCACTGAGTCCGCTATAAAGGGATGATGGGAGTTCTGACTTCCATAGGAAAGTGACTGCTGCATGAAGATGCATTTAATAAAAATAAAATCACTTTAAAATTGTTTAAACATTTTTCCTTGTGATTTCTAAGGATTAGGCTGTTCATGATAAAGCATTATGTCAGTCAGGCCAGAGGCAGATGAGTTCTGCACTGTTCACATGCTGAGTGTCAACAATATAACCTCGCTGTTTCTGATCCCTGTTGTTGTTCTTTTCAACCTTCTTCAAATCAGCAGTATTCCTAGAATCCACATGTAGTTAAAGTGCCGGTTTTACCTTCCTGTGTTTTCTGTCCAGTTGCTCTCAGTGTTGATCTGTGATAACCAGAAATCTTTGATGCTGAGCTCACAATTGGATATTGTTTTTTGCTGCATCTCTTGTTCTTAGTTTCTTTACTTTCACAGGCTGATCCAGTGATTACAAGATTAACTACTGTTAGTCACAGTCGTCTTGCCCCGTTTTTGGCTTCGCTTCTTTGTCAAACAAGCCAGTAATGATGACTTGAAGCTCTTGAGTTGAGTGAGGTTTTTAATGTGCAGGAGTTTTGCTTCTGGATTGCACGTCTGGCAAACTACACTAAAGGCAGGCTGAAGGTCGCAGCAGGATGAGTAAATAATTAATTTGGAGTGGCTGAATGCCATTTAGCTGTGTCGCTCCCAGGGTCCCAGTGTTAATGCTGCAGGCTTGTTTTAACACAGTCATCATTTACTGACAATCAACAAAAGCAGAGCTAACACTATTAGTCACAGCTTGTTTTTTTTTTTTATATGATAAAAAAAGGCTCCCAACTCAGGCTCCTTCACTGAAAACTCGCTGCATAAAAGAAAAGGCGTTCAGCTTTTTTTTGCTCTCTCTTCAAACGTAGTAAAGACCTTATAGAAAGCTACATGCCAGGACTGAATGCACTGTTTGGTCCTGCACAGATTAGCTTTGTGCTTTGGTTTTTGCACTCGTGCAAAGTTTTTTAATAGACATCTTAACGAGAAGAGGTGTTTCTACAATGGAGATTTAATGTGCAGATCCCTGTGTAATTTGGCTGAGCTAAGGGCAGAAAGGTTTCCAGGGAGTTAAAGACACAACTCAGCTATTTGATGGAAAAAGAAAGTTCATCTTGAGACATGAAAAAACAAGCAGATTAACTTCTGGATTTTCAGATGGAAGTTAATAAACTGAACTTTTATTCTGTGCACATCAGCTGTGAGCCAAAATCATCACCGTAAGCAGAAATGATCAATAAATATATATAAATATATAAATAATTGATCAAAGCGACATAGGAAATTGTTTTCTTTAAAATCAAATTGCTTTAAGTGGAGCTAGCAGCCTAGCGGTTAGGGCATAGAGCTTGGAATCCAGAGGTTCTGAGTTGGAGCCCCACTCCCACTGACTGCCACTGAGGGACCCTACACAAAAAGAGCTTTAACCCCTGATTAGTCCCCAGGCACAGCACCTTGGCAGCCCACTGCTCCCCAAGCGGATTGGTTAAAGGAAGAGGTAAATTTCTCCAATGTGAGATCAATAAATTTAAATTATTGACAACTAACGAGACTATAAGGAAGCTCAGGTTTTATATTTATCGTGGTTAATATCTTTACCTGTGTAATAAAGGTTTGATATTCCAATTGTGATATTTTAAGCATTAACATTTTCTACAAAGTTAGCTCATTGCTTGAAGCTTCATGTTTCTCCTGTTTTCCAAAAAAAAGGCTGACTCTGAAGAATCCTAACAGCTTTATTTCCATGCCATGCTGAGCATTTACCATCTGACTCATCTTTCCCCAACACTCATAGTCATTATGTCTGTGTAAACTTTTTGATGTACGGTTGTTCTGAATCTTGGATTCCAGACTTGGTAATCGTGGTGGTTTTAGGACAGAGTGGGCATGGAGATTTTCCACAGAGAGGGAAATAAAAGCGAGGCTTTTTTTCCTCTCTTCTTGGCATAAAAAAGGCTTGAAAATGCTTGAGCTAAATATAGAGAAGAAAATAATTTCTCTGAGGTGTAAGTAAATACCTGATTAATGCTGCTGTGGTGACATTTAATCGTGCTGTAGCGGTAAAAAGAAAAAGAATGGATCGATAAAGCATTTGGAAGGGGGTGAAGGTGAAAATGAGCTACAGAGTAAAAAACAAGAAAGTTCACCTGCAGTTTTATTAAACGGAGGGCAGCAGGTGGAACAGGGAATGAATGGTACTAATTGCTTTGCCTCTCTCATCGATCTGCTGGTTTTTAATGTGAATGCAAAGATTGAGGGCCGTGTAATAATAATGGTAGATGGTAAAGGTGTCAGCCAAGAAAACCTCGCAAAGCGACGGCTGAAACTGAAAAAGCTTTAGAGATTTTATCCTTATTGGTCAAATAAGGATAACCCTAAGAGGTGGATTGGTTCTTTTTTCATGACTGCATTAAATGGTGAATGAGGTGAAACCTATTGCATTTACTGACTGAGGGCTTGATGACTGAAGTGATGACAAAATGGATGATTTACTTTTTAATTATAGTCAAGAGTCCAAGGACCCAAGCGCTATCAGAAGAGCTGGGGGCCATTTTTATGCCTGAGTGATTCATGGTATTGAGGAGTATCAAGTGGCTTTTCTCCAGTAATGATCAGAGCTGAAATGAAGATGAGTAAAATACAGAAATGCCCTCAAAGGGAGAAACCATTCAAGCCGATAAATGTTTTCAACAGCTGTCTGCCTGGTTGAATTATAAGAGTTGAGCTTTAGTGATAGTTGTATCACAGGTTTCACTGACACAACGTCTCAAGAAAAAAGAAATGAAGTAGAGTAAAAGATGTAAAAGGGTTCAGATGGTATGAATATTCCCTCATGCTCTGCATTTATCCCTCACTCTTCATGTTTTACTCAGATTTTCACTACAAACAGCTAAAAAGAACAATAAACATTGTATAAAATGCATGTGTGTATATATATATGTGTATTTCATGTGTTTTGGAAAGGTCTAATCGAAAAATCTCTGTTATTTTTTTTCTTTTGTTTGCTTTCAGGATGAGTGGAGCTCTAGTTACTCGTCTATCCGCGGTAGACCTCAGAGTGCAGATGAGAAGGCCCACACCATCGACGCCCTGCCGCCAGGTGGGAACTACACCTCCTCATATCAGCCCACCTGAGCTCTAACTGTAGATAGGGAAAACAAAGCATTAAAAAATCATCCCTCTTAGAATCTGTAATTTTTGTTCTTAAACCTCACTTTCGCATTGCCTTTGAAATGTCCTGACTACCAGCAGATTTGGTTGCATGCTGATGAGCTGATGCAGAGATACATTTCTTTGACATTTTCCTTTTTTCAAGCAAGTTTCAAATAAAATCTTCAAACAGTTTATCTACTTCTGCTTTTTGTCCTGCAGCCTGGAGAGGTTTTCTAAAACATGAACAACTTAAGACTGTCGGAATTTAGACGGATGGAGTTCAGTAGATGGCTGCAGTTAATACCTACTAGTTCATAATCAGACGACCATAGATGGTGCATCAGGTTTGTTTTTGACTTAGGTGATTTATATAAGTATGTTTTTATGTCCAAGATGTATAAACAGCCTACTTCTTTAGTGTACACTACAGAGAGGAACGGCGGGAGAACATGGCTGATTGATGATCTCTCATTATCACAGAGACTCAGTGCCACAGCAGCCTGTGTGCATCCCTCACACGACCGCGTCATGCATCTGCTGAACACTTTCTTCCCTCCCATCCCAAATGGGATCCTATTTGGAAGTAAAAATCGGGACATTTTGACTTGAGGGGTAATTCAGGCTTGAAATTGTTGCTGTGTCAAATGCAGCAGTAATGCACCTGGTAAGATAGGCAGAGAGATGGTCACAAACAAGGAGATGGAGGAATAGGGGCCTAAAGATTAAAAGATGGAAAGATTAGAAGGTGAAAAATGTAAAGATGAACTTGATTTCCTTGCAGGAAAATATTTCAAATATAAATGAACCAAATCAAATTTGTTACAGTGTCATACGTTTCCAAAAAGCCTGGGTTTTTAATACTATGCTTTAAATTCTTTATTCAGTGCAAGCTGAGGCAGTTTAATCAAGCAGTTTAATTTAGCATTACTTAATATATCATTTTTATATTTAGTAATGCTTTGCTCCAACCGTAAGAGTTTAGAAAATAAATATTGGCATGACTGAAAGTGATTAAAAATACCTTTAAAACTCAATATGAACTTTATTAAATAATTTCTAGTATTCCTTAAGGTTATTTTAGGCTGAATCAAAACTTCATAAGTCCATCTTATGTCATCAAATTACACTTAAAGACAGTCACATAGTGGATGAGGCTATGTGTGAAGTAAATCCTGTGTATTTTTACCCATTTCTTGAGATGTTTACAAGCCGGTCTGAACTCTGTAATAATGCTCAGTAGGATGTGTTGGTCTGTATGAAAGAAATGGATCATTGGGCATTCAATTCTGAAGAACTTTAAAATAAAACTTTTATTTTTAGAGGTTCTTCTGCTCCTGTTTGCTGATGTTTCAGACGTTTATGCCTTGTGTTGTTTGTTTTGCTAAAGGTGTGATGACAGCCGAGGTATTGACATCTCCTCTGTTAGCCTGAGCTCTATTTTATTTCATTGCTTTGAGGTATTGCGTTTGCCCTAAAAACATGTTTTTGTTTTGGCTGATTTTGTAAACTAATTTCGATAGCGTCCCTCTGAAGCTGAGCATTGCAGCTGACATGAAAACTCATCCCGTCAGTGTTTGCGTTCTCTAAGCTGGTAGGCAGCGCTGTCATTCTGGGAAGATATGCAGAGGATTTCTAGACATAAATCCTTCATGTCTGGTACTATTACTTGGAAACACAACAGCATCAAACGACTTCCAGAAACAGTTGCAACATACAACCTCCCCGTGGGCAGGAGCCGTCTGGAGCAGCTCACTAAATAGAGAAAAAGGAAAGAGAAACTGTTCAAAAAGCGGAGACTATCAACAGAAGCCAGCTTAAGGAGACAGGTGCAGAGTTACTGTGAAGGAGATGATAAACCGGTTACTTTAACTAGAAAAGATCTTATGGGGGAAAAAGCCTCCCTGGAAAGCAGTGGGTATCTTCATTTTGATGTATCATTTGAATTAAAGTTTTACAGAAAGCTAAAAGCAACAAAATATTTTCTCAAGGGGAATTTTGAAATAAAAAAAAAGAACTAAAGTACTGCAATAAGATTCTACTTCTTATTCTATCAGCTGGACATAAAACAAAGCTGTCCCTGTCGAAAAAACGTCTGTAATGCAAATGCATCACCTGATTTCATTATTTTTTTCAGAGATTTATTTCTTTGTTTTAAAAAAAAAACTGAGCTGGAGAGGCAGGAGAAAGGTAGACATTGACCTGGAAACTGTCTGCAGGAGTGGTCTTGTTTTACCCACAATGTGGGGGCAGTAGGGCTGGGTATTTTCGCCAAAGTCCTGAATCGATTCGATTTTGATTCATACAGTTCTAAATCGATTAATTTCGATTCGACCTGTTTTTACAATAATGAAAGTGGTTCAACTGTGTTTCAAAATACTTATGTATTTTTTTTTCCTGTCACATTTAACACAAAGTGCAAACTTGTAAATCAGACAGTTTAAACTTGAGATGTGAAGAAAACTGTCTTGTAAGTGCAAACTTTGTGAAAAGTGACAAAGTTAAGCCTCACTCGAGCAAGCAGATGTGACATAGCGGGGACACAGCAGACATGCATGAGCTGCATTATCTCCTCTGCACAAACCGTATTTGCAGCGTTGTCTGTAACAACTACAGGGTGTTTGCCGGTCAACCCCCATTTGTTAATGTTTCAGTCAACCTATTGGCTATATTTGCAGCTGTCTGGCTTAAAGTAATCTTGAGTGCATCTTTCCTGCTCATTTGAATGTGAACGTCACGCGCGTCACTATAAAACTAATCAATCTTATTCCCTAGACATCGATTTTGCAAAAATGTAAGGAATCGATTCAAAATCTAATTTTTTTACCCAGCCCTAGGGGGCAGCAGTTTGTAAAATGTACTACATTGTGGGGACCCACGGTTACAGATGTTTGCAATACAGAGATTATTATATTATAATCTCTTTTATTATTTTTTATATATTATATAATTATTATTATAAGAGATTATTCTTTAGTAGGAATGCCCCGATACAATTCTTTTAGTTCCCTTAGTTTAGTAAATGAGCACGTTATGCTCATTTATAGAATGTTAGAAAAGGTTTGATAGAGTAATATTACTCAAGTAGAGAACAGTAGTCAATAACAAGGGGAATCAGAACAGCTGATCCATTTATCATAAACCAACGGGTCATAAACAGAAGCAGACTGTTTCTATCAGATTGCTTATATCTGCGACTTTAGATGCAGGCTGATATATTTCGATATACATTTATTTGTTTGATATCGGACCAAATTTAGTTCTTTAGATAATTTCCTTTTCTCTACTCAAGGAAAGGAAAACAACCTGGAGAATGTGGGTTAATGTTCATCACTATATTCAACAATAACATCACAATTACACATATTCCTGATATCATGTACTTCTAAAATGCAATATTTGATATTATTCCACTTGTTTATAGTTCCTCTATTGTAGGTAACTAGTATAAGTTATTAGATTGTCACAATTTACACCGGTGCTGGTGTTTAGGAGGCTAAAGGTCACAGAGACAGATGGAAGCTAAAGACCTGAACTTTAAACCCTTGGATTTGAGACTTCCTCATGACATAGATAATAATGACATGGTCCCACCTCTAGTAACAATATCTCTAGTAGTTAATTCTTCTAATTATCATGCCAGACATAAAAGAGTCTTTTCCTCAGAGAGGGGTTTGCTTCTTTTGTTTTTTGGCGTACACCCCCACCTATGCAAAGGGATGACTAGTAACCAGCAGCTAAACCGCACTAATGGGTTGTTTGCTGTGTGCCCTTAATCTGTATTAAACTGTGAAATTAAATGTGACAAATCTGTCTGCAGCACATTGATCCTTATAATCCTATCAGACTGCACCTGAATACACAGAGGTGTGTTCTTCAAAATAAACCCCACTTTCTTGGTTTGTTTATTTAAATCTGCAGTAAATGTGCAAATGAAAGCCTTTTTTTCCCCTCCGACTTACAGCAGAATATGATGTATGTTCTCTTGGAGCTGAACCACAGTGTTCTGGCTCTGAGTCCTGAACCCTGCTCAGCATATTCATGCATAAATTACCTGTCAGCCTCGCTGAGCTCTGGCTTTTAGCCTCGTTGAGCCTCAGCTGGAAGCAGTCTGCCCTCTGCTGCCACACTTGAAGCAACCTTACATCAGGCGGCCCACTGCCTGCATTTCTTATTCCCACCGTCCAACACAGAGCACGCTTTTTAGGTTTAGTGACAGTCTCTGGCAGTTTGTTTATCTAACAGTATTTTAAAACTGAATCCGTTTTTTTTTGTATTTTTTTTTTCTCTCCAGGTGTTTATACTGTTTTTTTTTTACTATAAATGCCACACATTTATTTATTTTTTTTGTCATTCAAACCAAATAGCTTAATCTTAGTACCGGTAGTCTGCTGTCAGATTCCAAAAACAGGGGAGACTGTTTAATGTTGCGACATTGCAGTGTTGACAGTTGCTTTCAAGGACTAAACCTGGAAGCTACAGGTCTAGTGCCCCTGGTGGCTAAAAGTTACGTAGTGTTATATAATATTCATACCTTATCAGTTATTATACATTTTTCACAAAGGTTTCTTGTTATTAAAGGAGAAGTTCGGTTTTTAACACTTTTAGCCCATTTTCTGTAGTGTCCAGGATGAAATCGAATGATCGACACCAAAATTTTGACAATAGGTCCTGTCTCTGCTTTTTGGCTCATTTAGAATCCACCCCTGGCTGCTTTAGAATGGCTTCCATAGAGCATGTCCGATAATGTCCTCAAAACAACCTTAAACGTTCTTTTTTTTAAATATGCTACTCAGCGTGTCGTCAGCGCTGTTCAATGACGTTCCTAAAAAAGTTTCGTGAAGAAAAAACGTTCCTGTAGTGTTTTATTTAGCATTTTGTAAATCCCATTGAGTTCTGTTGGAATAGTCAATATTCCCCTGCCACCGGAAACGGAAATGGGGCCTGTTTACACAGTTGTAGTCTTTTCGCTTCACTCTGTGTACTCCGACGTCGAGGTCCTAACGTCTCTGTTAAACACTTTAAAAAACTCTGAAAATGGAATACGAAAGGTGGATTCTTGATTCTCGACGTCGGAGTACACAGAGTGAAGCGAAAAGACTACAACTGTGTAAACAGGCCCCATTTCCGTTTCCAGTGGCAGGGGAATATTGACTATTCCAACAGAACTCAATGGGATTTACAAAATGCTAAATAAAACACTACAGGAACGTTTTTCTTTACGAAACTTTTTTTGGAACGTCATTGAACAGCGCTGACGACCCGGTGAGTAGCATATTTTTAAAAAAGAACGTTTAAGGTTGTTTTAAGGACATTATCGGACATGCTCTATGGAAGCCATTCTAAAGCAGCCAGGGGTGGATTCTAAATGAGCCAAAAAGCAGAGACAGGACCAATTGTCAAAATTTTGGTGTCGATCATTCGATTTCATCTTGGACACTACAGAAAATGGGCTAAAAGTGTTAAAAACCGAACTTCTCCTTTAAATATACTTCCTGTAATATACCTTTGATGATTCAGCAGATATCAATACAGTGGTCTTTGCATAACATTAAAAATATGAACATTATAAAGGTTAACGGATGCTGAAAAGGTCTAGTGACGCTTTACTGTCACTTAAAGCGCATGCTTTGCCGATTCCTCCCATTTCCTATCCATTGATGTTGAGCTTTATTCATTACTAAATGTTTTTATTTTTGTTTTTATTGTTTAAACTGGAGTGTCTATGTCTTTTATCATTGAATATATCAGGGAAGAGTCACACTAATGTGAAAATAATCGGTACAGCCTTAAAAAACCTGCATCAATTGATTTCTAGCAGCAGAGGTATCCCCCTTATAGAGCTATGTCATTTATGTTTGTTTTTCCCACTATTTTACTGTTTAATCGTGAACATTGAACTTAACTATGGTAAATGAGCCCCCTGGAGCTTTGGCTTTACCTCCTGGATGAATCATCTGTTAAACTGCTCAAGGATATTGACACATCTTCTCTGATTTGTCCATCATTTCTATGTATTCTTTTTTGTGTACAGGTAAGGTGCGGTGGCAGGATTTCAACCAGAACCTGTACATCGGAGCCACATTGGTCCGACCCGGTCAGGATCCTTATGCAAGAAACAAGTTCAACCAGGTGGAGAGTGACAAGCTGCAAATGGACCGTTCTGTTCCCGATACGAGACATGACCAGTAAGTTGCTGCTGTGAAGAAAATACAAACGAGAGCCCCAGGGGCACCTCGGCTTTCCTGTTAATTACATCTGCTGCGTGTGTGATTGCATGTCTTCATGCCATTCTTTGTCGCCTGTCAGCTTGACTAATCGGTACCAGACTGGATAAGATCTCCTGGGAACACCCTCCATTGTTGTCTGAGATAAATCCAGAGTCCCACAACCATACATGCATACACATCCCCATGACCTCAGATTGTTCGGTTTGGAAGAGGGGGAGAAATGATCTGGCATAACATCGACTGAATTAATCTGAGGAAATAATCTGTTAATAAGCCAAAATGCCATTCATCTCTCCAGATTGGAATTTAAATCAACTGTTCTTGTTAAACAGTTTTAGGCTCAAAGTATTTGCTAGGCTGACCTCTATACTTCTGAATCCCTTGCCCTTTAATTTGAAGTCAAAAAGCGTAATGATGACTTTACTCCTCTGTAAACTAGTATGCTCATTTAAAAAGGAAAAAGTCACTTTTCATAACCAGATATGAAATCAGTATTCTTACATGCAGTGACTTACAAAATATTTGTTTCCTCATCTTTTCCTCACTTTTTCATGATAGAGCGACAAACATCCAGATCATTTATTGTGATTTTATCAAGATCAACACAGATATAGAGAGAATTATACATGTTTTATAAAAGAAATAAAAACACTTGAAAATGTGCTTTTGCTTTAAGCCCCAATAATTCAATTATTTGTAAAACAACCTTGTATGTGGCATCTGTTGATAACAGATTTTCAGCTGAATATCTCTCTCCCTGTCTTAACGAAGAACATCCCCACAGCATAACGCTGCCTTCACTGTGCCTGATCTTTGGAGAGACTGTTCAGAGTGATAATGTGGGCTAATTTATCCCTCACACAGCATCATGTTTTGCATGTAGATTAGAAAATTTAGCCATCTACATGCCTGGTGACTAAGTGCAAACTGAATATGTTGCATCTGCAACAAAAGACAACAGATTTGTAAAAAGCGTCAGATCTCTGCAGCCCCTCCAGAGTTGGTTTGGGCATCTGTGCTTCCTCCCTTGTTGCTTGGTGTAAATCATGGGTGTTAAACTCTAGAGTTGGAAGCTAGGCAGTGAAAATTGAAATGTTTTTGGTAAATGTAAAGCTTTTGTCCAGATTTCAGTTATTTTTGTCATAATAAAACTGTTTTAAGGAAGCAATTGAACATACAGGTGCTGGTCATAAAATTAGAATATCATGAAAAAGTAGATTGATTTCAGTAATTCCATTTAAAAAGTGAAACTTGTATATTATATTCATACATTACATACAAACTCATATATTTCAGATGTTTATTTTGTTTAATTTTGATGATTACAAATGACAACAAATGAAAATCTCAAATTCATCATATCAGAAAATTAGAATATTGTGAAAAGGTTCAAAATTGATGGCCCCTGGTGCCACACTCTAATCAGCTAATTAACTCAAACCACCTGCAAAAGCCTTTAAATGGTCTTTCAGTCTAGTTCTATAGGCTACACAATCATGGGGAAGACTGCTGACTTGACAGTTGTCCAAAAGACGACCATCGACACCTTGCACAAGGAGGGCAAGACACAAAAGGTCATCGCTAAAGAGGCTGGCTGTTCACAGAGCTCAGTGTCCAAGCACATTAATAGAGAGGCGAAGGGAAGGAAAAGATGTGGTCGAAAAAAGTGTACAAGCAAGAGAGATAACCGCACCCTGGAGAGGATTGTGAAACAAAACCCCTTCAAAAATGTGGGGGAGATTCACAAAGAGTGGACTGCAGCTGGAGTGAGTGCTTCAAGAACCACCACACACAGACGTATGAAAGACATGGGTTTCTGCTGTCGCATTCCTTGTGTCAAGCCACTCTTGAACCACAGACAGCGTCAGAAGCGTCTTGCCTGGGCTAAAGAGAAACAGGACTGGACTGCTGGTGAGTGGTCCAAAGTCATGTTCTCTGATGAAAGTAAATTTTGCATTTCCTTTGGAAATCAAGGTCCCAGAGTCTGGAGGAAAAGAAGAGAGGCACTTCATCCACGTTGCTTGAAGTCCAGTGTAAAGTTTCCACAGTCAGTGATGGTTTGGGGTGCCATGTCATCTGCTGGTGTTGGTCCATTGTGTTTTCTGAGGTCCAGGGTCAACGCAGCCACATACCAGGAAGTTTTAGAGCACTTCATGCTTCCTGCAGCTGACCAACTTTTTGGAGATGCAGATTTCATTTTCCAACAGGACTTGGCACCTGCACACAGTGCCAAAGCTACCAGTACCTGGTTGAAGGACCATGGTATCCCTGTTCTTAATTGGCCAGCAAACTCTCCTGACCTTAACCCCATAGAAAATCTATGGGGTATTGTGAAGAAGAAGATGCAATACACCAGACCCAACAATTCAGAAGAGCTAAAAGCCACTATTAGAGCAACCTGGGCTATCATAACACCTGAGCAGTGCCACAGACTGATCGACTCCATGCCACGCCGCATTGCTGCAGTAATACAGGCCAAAGGAGGCCCAACTAAATACTGAGTGCTGTACATGCTCATACTTTTCATGTTCATACTTTTCAGTTGGCCAACATTTCTATAAATCCTTTGTTTTTATTGGTCTTCAGTAATATTCTAATTTTCTGATATGATGAATTTGAGATTTTCATTTGTTGTCATTTGTAATCATCAAAATTAAACAAAATAAACATCTGAAATATATGAGTTTGTATGTAATGTATGAATATAATATACAAGTTTCACTTTTTAAATGGAATTACTGAAATCAATCTACTTTTTCATGATATTCTAATTTTATGACCAGCACCTGTATTGTTCCTATTCTGTAAGCTCGGTTTTGCCTGCAAAAAAAGCAATTTGATGGGCAGAACTGTTGCAAACACAGTGTGATCCTGATAAGTCTCCTGTAAAGGGCCAAATAGTTCTCAACATGTCATCATATTAAACCGCTAGAAGAACCTGGGACGCTGTGTTTTCCTTTACAGTATACTGTTTACAGTATAAAGACAAAATATAGAGCCAGGAGACATTTGGAGCTTGGTGGTTTCATGGACTCATCTTTTCCTTTATTGGTTCAATAAACATGATTCTTAGAAAATTGCCAAAACCACATGTAAAATTGCAATGAGGCATTGGAATCATTTTTTTTTATTATTTCACAAAGCATTTTTTCCCTAAATGTCAGTCAATTGTGCATTTTGTGGATTCTAAAGTAAAATATTTACATTTTAGCTTTGCTTTTCTGTCCAAATTTATTAGAGTTGATAAAATAGCCTTTTTTTCTCTCAAACTGGTCTCTTGATTCAGTAGTACCTGCTTAGTGGAAGGTTTTCCTCTGTATATATCCATTATGCTTGCCAGAACCTTTTGAACATGATTACCCTGGTCCCTTAGTCCTCTGTGGACTGTTAGCTTTCAGTCAGGACGCCACTTGCAGTTTCTTAGAAGATACACACTTTGGTCACTGTGAGGGACCAAACTTAAATAAGGACAAAAGGTGTTCAAAATTTGAAAAATTGTTTCCATTCAATTGTGTAAAAATGGTTAACAAAGGCTAAAAAGCAATATAAAATAACTTAAATACAAAATAACATGAATCTGGGCCCAACTTAACGGAGGTCAACTGAGGATCCAACTCAAACAAAAAACTGACCTGCAAACAAAGAACTAAAGGCTGCTTAAAAAGGGATGGAGTAACCCAAGTCGACAAAATGAGGGAGGCACAACATAACAAAAGAACCAATAAATACAAAATTTACCATTCTATGAAACAAATAAAGCAAAACTAACTTTTACTTAGCAGAAACAATAAGTGAATATTTAAGTGACAAACTAATTGAAAACTTCTTGAAACAAGTCTCCCCCGTCAGTCTTTCAAAAATGGTACACTCCAGGTTTCCTCCTCCAGCTGGTTTGCATCAGCAGCACCTCAAACAAAAGAACAAGTGTAAATAAACTATTCAGACAGACAGGGCCGGCGATTGCTATAGGCGAGCTAGGCAATTGCCTAGGGCGACAAATGTGTTGGGGGCGCCCTCTAGCGTCGCCCTTAGGCTTACTTCCCATTAATCATCAGAAAAAAAAGCGAATTAAACCGGTTATGAAGCGTCCGTCAGTTTGACTTAACCTTACGTATATATAAATAGCAAAATATCAACAAATAAATATACCACCGTTTTTTTATTTATTTTTTCACATTTAAGAGAAAATCGGAAAAGATTCTGATCACTTTTCAAGCGCCCTCCAACCCGGAAGTCGTGACGTCAATCACTGCAGCATGTACACCAATATTTTGGAATGAAATTGTAAGCAAACAGATATTAAAAGTAAAACAAGTGAACTGGCACTTAACTTTGCTCGCGACTCGAGAATGGCTGAACGGAAAAGACTCCTCCTCCTGCCGCTGCAGTCGGGCCATCTTCATCATCCACTCAGAGTACCACTGGTAAACGCACACAGACTTTGTAGCTTGTCCGGTCAGTTAAAAATATTAATTGTGAAATCCGTCTTGTAATCGGAAGCATACAAGCTAGTTAGCTTGAAAAGTAAATAAAGTTTCAGATGTGCTGCGTGATGATGTGTTCAGATTGGCTCAGTAAAACGACAATTAGGTTATCATGATGCGTTCAAGTGTAACGTAAAGAAAACGGGAAATTTTGTTTTTGGCGAGAAACATGAGTAATACAGTTGTATATTGCTCTATATATAATTAAACTACTGATGCCAACATTTATTAAAAATTACATTTAATTTAAAATACAATTATTTATTTGTTAAATATTTTCCTAATCACTAAAAACATGATGAAAAGTGACAGTAGACAATACATTAACCAACAATTGTGAAAATATATTCTAGTTAGTTTTATGTCATTTCGAAGTGGCCTATTACATTAGCCATGTTTATTGAAGGCTAGAAACGTTTTTGTTATGCTCACTTGTTAAGCAATAGAAGCAATACCAGTTCTGTTAAAAAAATTTTGTTGCATCGTCTTTCCACCAAATAACAGAAAAGTATCGATAGTGGTATCGATAAAGACTCGGATCGATAAGGAGTATCGATAAAGGTATCGATATCAATAAATATTAACGATCCCCATCCCTAATGTTGACATCATTTTTTTCTCAGTATATATGCAGCAGAATTATGTGCTATATTATTAGCTTGAGAATGGGTAGAAGATACTAATATAAATAAAATATTTTGTAGTGATTATCTGCATTGAGTATTCAAAAGGGATGTACAAATAATCATCAAAATATATGAAGTTATGGCTGTTCATCATAGAATATGTGAACAACAAAAAAAACAACAACTTCAAACTTTTAATTTTGTAATGGTATTCATAAAAGCGCTTTTGTTTGTAGAGGGTTAATCCTTTCTTTAATCACTAATCAATGTCAGAAATCAGGGTAAATATACCTGATATATTTTATTTAGAGGAAAATTTTGTTTATCTCATTTCTATTTATGTTCAAATGATTTAATTGAACTGGAACAGAAAATTTAATTTAATGTTTATCAATTACTTTTTTATGTAGTCCTTGGTTGAAGAATTTCTTAAATTTATTATTTTTTATTGTTATTTGGTAATTTCTGAAATTGATTTATTTAATATTTGTTTAATGTGTGTTAAATTTGTTAATTGTCTGAAATAAATTAATTCAATGATTCAATCCAGTTTTTTAGTTATACTTTACCTAAGTGTCCTTACAGATGGTTAAAAGTGTTTTTACTCAAACTCAATCTCGCCTAGGGCAACCAAAGGGCTAGAACCGGCCCTGCAGACAGACATTAACTAAAGTGTGCACCCATTAGAAAATACCTGTCTAAAATAACCAACTTAAACATAAATTGTAATATAATATAAAGCAAGAAAAGAAAATACTAACACGATGTGGTGGTGGGAGGATCATCCACCACAGTCAGTGTATAGTAAGCATTATTATATAATTAGCGCTGAAACAATTAATTGGATTATTCGATGATTGAAGTAATCATCAACTAATTTAGTAATGGATTAATCGTTAACTGCTATAGAGACTCCAAAACATGCCTTTAGCTGACAGAGCAACCCACTTAGGGAAGTAATTATATCAAAAAAAAAAAAAAAAAATATATATATATATATAAACATTTTGAATTTAAGATAAATAAATAAAAAGTTTTAATCTGTCAGTATGCCTTATCCAGAAGTCCTTAAGTGGAAAAGTTTTAGTTTCATCTTGTTTAAGTTTTTAAACAATCTTCTTTAAGAAACCGATTATTAATCGAAAAATTATATTGTTAGTTGCAGCCCTAAATATAATAGTTCTACCCTCCATCTCTGGTTGTGTTTTTTGGGGGAAAATTTTTCTACCTTGGTATTTATTTTTTATCCAGTTAGATAAAGCTGAAAATGTCCTCATTGGCAACGTGCCTAAAATCTTCTCAGGAAGAAAAGCGAAATCTTTGTTTTTTTATGGAAAACTTTTGCTTACCAAAACCTACACTCTTTGTAATGTTACTCTGTTAGTCAGGTTTCCATCTCTACTCTCATGCTCACACACCAATACCTCCTTATGCATTGGTTTCATGTAGCGTGGACATATCAGTTGTAAAGCTGCGTTTAGTCTTCTCAGATGCAGAAAGAAAAATAACAAAAACCGGATTATGTTGCTGATCCTTCATGATTAGATGTTCTTACTCTGTTTTTGAAACACTTTTGAGTTAATTTTTTCTGCGATGCTCTAAGGTTTCATGTTGAGCTATCACATTTTCCCATCAGGCTTTATTTCATGCTCTCACTCTGTATGCATCATGATTATGATGACAGGGGGTCTGTTTCTTGCTTTAATCTTCAGCGATGGGAGTTTTTGCATCATCCTCCAGCTAATTTTTAGTACTGCTGAATATTTGGGGAAACCAGTGATATTTATGGTTAATTCACTGAAATTAGCTTGTTTTTACTACTTAAATACAAAATATCAGTAGATAACCTTCTCTTTTAAAATAAAGTATAACTGCTTTCTAATGTGACCAGAGTCGGTCATTAGATCCATTCAGTAGTTTTAAGCCAGTGTCTGTCAAGATGTGCTTAGTCATTTTTTTTCTTTATCTTTGCCTGTTGTGTAAACACAACCATCACCATTTGCTCATATATTGACCTGGGTCAGTGTCAGAGCCATTAGCCCACTGACAGCCGTGGGACGTGTGTCCCATTGATCCAATGCTGATGGGTTGTTTGGACAATGTGCATCAGTGCTGATTGTTAAGACTCTCCTGAATTTAAATTTGACCTTATTGTTGATACTAATCCCGAGTCATTGGGCTTAGATGATGAGATCAAAAGTGTTTTTAGGTTTGGCAAAGATTTCGGCAGAGCTGTGATTTCTTTACCAGGTTTTCCTTAAAGACTAATGGAGGCGGTTTAAAAGCTAATGCTGCTCTGACTTATGTATTGCTGGGATAGAGGACTTGATGTTCAAACACTCAACAGCAGCCTTTCACGGGGGGGCAAGTTAGAGCGTCTGAAAAATAATCAAGGCGATCCCTGAAACCAGCCGAGGGGGATTTAAGATTCTCAAGGCAAATGATCAGTGAGTCCATCAGAGACAAAGGTCATCAGTCGATGGCCGGGGGAGCATAAATTGCAAAGGGTAGCTTAGTTGTGATATTTGGAAGACTCATGTAGTTCCTTGCAAGAGTATCCACACCTGTTTGAAGTTTTTATTACATTTATTCAAACCGTATATCTAAATATCAATGTTTTGTTCTGGATAAATGAGAGCTGGGATGAATTATGTTCTCCACAGCTTTATCCCTGATCTGTTTGATCATAAACACTGCAGAGGTATTTAGGGATTCTTTATTAATAGGAAATCGCTGGATCCAGCAGTTTTATAGTTTGCTTTCCTTTCATGCAACCCTTCTACCAATGAAATATAAGATATTGCATCAGATAGATATGACCCTCCTGACTCTCTGAAATGCAGCTTTTAGCATCTTTAAATCTAATGGCTTTTATTACTTAGGTTGTTTTTTGCTGTACTCCCTCCTGAAAGGCCCGAGAGAAAACTCAATGCTTACTTTGCAGGATTGCCTGGTTTGCAGTGCTTCTTTTATGTAGCTAATCTGTGAACTCTCTGCAGAGTTGAGGCCTTTTAATTTTGTGTAAGATCAGAGAAGGTTTTCACCCAGCCAAGCCTGCAAGAACAAAATTACATAATTTTGTTTTGGAGTTCTTGCAGCCTGCTTCTTGGCACATCCACTGGCCAATACCTTTTCCTTGTGTGCTGTCAGGAAATCATTGTATCCAGATGCTTCAGCGGGAGGTTTCCATGACGACATTGATCTCGAACTAGGCATGAATTTTTCTTACCACAAAGAGATTTTTTCATTCAAAGTAAAAATGTTTCAATTTTTGCACTTGTGTTGGCCTATTTGTTAGAGCACTGTGCTTATGCTCTGAGAAGGTTATAAGTACCCGGTACAATCCCCACAGCCTCCACTCGGGGTTCTTCAGCAAAACCCTTAAACCCTGATTGCTCACCGGATGCCTACCAATGGCTAACTACTCCTCCAGGGGATGGGTTAAGATGCAGAGAACAAATTTCTTGTGGGACAATAAAGGGATTTACATTACATATTGACCTTTACTGCCTTTGCGTCTTAGCTTTCTCTCTGTATCCTGTCCTTGAAAATGTTTGTGGATATAAAGTGATGAAACGTGAATACTTTTGCCGGGCACCTTATATGGCATCATTTGACATAATTTTTTTCGGACTAAACCTCTGCAGATAATCATGAGGTGTGGCTGCTGAACACCATCCTCTATCTGAACTGGGCTTTGTACCCTGGCAAGCAGGTTTACCGGTCCCACTCCTTCCAGTCTTGCACTGTATCTTGTCACCATTAGTCTTTGGTTTAATGTCCAGGCAGGATTTGTGGGTCTCAGCCTCTTTAGCATCAGTTTTGCTGCATTCGATTCATGCCTTTGTGAAGAGAATCACATTTATCTGTTTAAACAGCCTGACTTGCACATCCAGCAGTATGTCTCTGCGTAGGAGCTTGTGTATTTGTGAGAGCATTTTAAAAAATGTGTTTTGTTGTTTAATTTGCCTTTCTTCTGTGTCTGTGTGCAGCTGCAGAAGTAAACAGTGGAGGTCAGACCTGCCAGCCTCCAGTGTTGTCATCACCTTCCATAATGAAGCTCGCTCTGCTCTGCTGCGGACTGTCGTCAGGTAGCTCTATGCTGCTTAGGCTGTTGTTTTCTGATTTTGCTGGCTTAGATTTAATCCTTTTTTCATGATTCTTCCTTTTTAGTGTCTTAAAGAAAAGTCCTCCTCACTTGGTCAAAGAGATCATTTTGGTTGACGACTACAGTGACAACCGTAAGTGATTTATCCCGGTCATGTCCTAACATCAGGGAGTAGACAGTAACAAAAGCCCTGGCTTATGCGTGTGTGTGTGTTCCAGCGGAGGATGGAGCTCTTCTGGGCAAGATTGAGAAGGTTCGCATCCTCAGGAACGACCGCAGAGAAGGTACAGTGAACAACAGGCCGAAATAGATGATTAACCTCAACTGCTTGTTCTGTTCTCTACAGGATTAAAGTTTTGTCTCAATACATTTTTATTTCTTTCCTTTACTCAGGACTGATGCGTTCCAGGGTCCGTGGTGCAGACGCCGCCACAGCACCGGTCCTCACCTTCCTGGACTCCCACTGTGAATGTAATGATCATTGGTTGGAGCCATTACTGGAACGAGTGGCTGAGGTACACCCACTAATGCAGTTTCTCTCCTAATACCACCTTTTGATTTAATTCAAAGCTACAGTGAAAAGGAGCACACCATAATTGTTCCATAAACATCTGGATTTTAAACATGTGAGCCAGCTGTGGTCTTTGGATCATTATGTTTATAAAAACAAGCAGGGATATTGTTTCTGCAACAAAGTGTTTTGTTCTGTTGTCTCCAGTCTCTTTGTCTGTTGCGCTTTAATGGCACTGGCTCTTTGCCTTTCTGTTCTCATAAGAGTGTTAATACCTTCCATTAGGGCTGCACTATTTATCAAGAATGTATAGTCATTGCAATATTAGTGTGTGCAATATTTATATTTTAATAGACTAGCTGGCATCCAGTTATTGTTAGCTAATATTTTCTAAGAGCCATAAATGCCAAAAAGATACTCAGCCTGTTGGATGGTCTCTCTCTGGACCGGACAGATTGCAGTGTTAGTTTTGGATTTATCCATCCATCCATCCACAGGGTAAACTCCCTTATCCTTTTAATGGAGGGCGGTTTAGACAATGCAGAGGCAGGAGTCTGTCTCCAGCAGCTATTGGGTGGGAGGTGGGGTAGAGATGGTCCATCACAGGGCAAGAGAAAGACAGACAGCTAAAGGAGACCAATGATGCAGCAGGGCTGCTAACAGCACCGGTGTGGAGCAACAACAGTTTAACGTTAATATCTGCCTCACACCGTTTTCTAGTGTTTTTAACCATCATGTTATGATATAGACTTTTGAGATCTAGATGTTAAATCTCCATGCCGATGGAAAAGGAGAGAGGTACACACAGTTTTTTTCCGCACACATTCAATGTAGTTTTCTCCAACTGAAGCTTTTCTCCATTATCCTGCACACCTATTTATTGCAACGTTTGCAAATCAGTTGTAAGCTGAAAACGAGAGGCCCTGTGGTACTGACAGGCTCATAAATGGAGCTCAGCTAAAATTAAACGATCTCTAAATATTAATCATATCCAGCCCGGTTTGACAGCTGATGGTTTGGCTAACCGGGGTTCTCCTCTGAGTCTATGTTGAAACGACGTTTGTTTGTGTATAAAACCAGAACAGTTTTGTTCTTTGTTCTTAATAACGGATGCAGTTTGATGCTTTTGTTTTAGCCAGTTTCCTTTCATGCTGCTTCAGACGATTGATGTTGAAAATCTCTTTATGAATGGATTTTCTTATTGTTTTATATATGGAATAATAGACATGCATTTTTGTTTTCAACATCTTTTCCCCTTGTCTTTATTTGTTGAAAAACTTTTACTTCCAAATAATTAATAATGTCAAATAAGCTTTTGATTTTTTTTTTTGGCCCTGATCTATGAAGTCAGCATCTTGGTGATAGAAATGATAAATAAAAGAACTAAAAAACACAGCAGTCCTAAATGTTTCCTTCAGCTCTTGTATATAAAAAAAAAAAAAAGCGTTTTTCACTCCTAGCATCAAGACATAAATGTATGTCTATTGACCTAAAGTTAAGGAAAGGTAAAGAAAAACAAATATAGAGAGGGGGAGACAGGGTACACCCTGGAATGGTCGCCAGTCCATTGCAGGGCAACACAGAGACACACAGGACAAACAACAATTCACGCACACACTCACACCTAAGGAGAATTTAGAGAAGCCAATTAACCTAACAATCATGTTTTTGGGAGGAAGGAGTACCCGGAGAGAATCCACGCATGGACAGGGAGAACATGCAAACTTCATGTAGATAGACCCCGGGCCGGGAATCAAACCTGGAACCTTCTTGCTGCAAGGCATCAGTGCTACCCACTGAGCAGTCCAATGAAACACATTTAGCTACTTTTAATATATGAGATCTGTTGCCATATTATTTAAAGACAGTTAATTTGTATTTTAGTTCAATTCAAATACAGTGGGTATGGAAAATATTCAGACCCCTTTAAATTTTTCACTCTTTGTTTCCTTGCTCTTGGGATTCTTGGGAATGATGCATTAAGTTTTTCACACCTGGGTTTTGGGATCCTCTGCCATCTTCCTTACAGATCCTCTCCAGTGTTGTCAGTTTGGATGGTGAGCATTGGTGGACAGCCATTTTCAGGTCTCTCCAGAGATACTCAATTGGGGTTAGGTCAGGGCTCTGGCTAGGCCAGTCAAGAATGGTCACAGAGTTGTTTCCAAGCCACTTCTTTTTTATTTTAGCTGTGTACTTGGGGTCATTGTCTTGTTGGAAGGTGACCCTTCAGCCCAGTCTGAGGTCCTGAGCACTCTGGAAGAGGTTTTCTTCCAGGATATCTCTGTACTTGGCCGCATTCATCTTTCCCTAAAATGCAGTCATCCTGTCCCTGCACCTGAAAAACACCCCCGAAGCATGATACTGCCACCGCCATGTTTGACTGTTGAGATTGTATTGGGCAGGTGAGGAGCAGTGCCTGGTTTTCTCCACACCTAGCGCTTAGAATTAACGCCAAAAAGTTCGATCTTGGACTCATTAGACCAGAGAATCTTATTTTTCATATTCTGGGAGTCCTTCATGTGTTTTTTGGCGAACTATGCAGGCTTTCAAAGGTCTTGCACTGAGGAGAGGCTTCCGTCAGGCCACTCTGCCGTAAAGCCCCGACTGGTGTAGAGCTGCAGTGATAGTTGTCTTTGTGTAACTTTCTCCCATCTCCCTTCGGGATCTCTGGATCTCATTCACAGTGATCTTTGGGTTCTTTTTTTTTGTACCTCTCTTTACCTCTCTTGGGTTCTTCTTTACAGTGATCTTTGGGTTCTTCTTTGGGTTCTTCTCCCATGATTGCTCAGTTTGGCTGGACGGCCAGGTCTACAAACAGTTCTGGTCATCCTAATCTTCTTCTATTTAAGGATTATGGCCAGATCTGTGCCTTGCCACAATTCTGTCTCTGAGCTCCTTGGGCAGTTCTTTCAAACTTATGAATCTTGTTTGCTCTGACATGCACTGTGAGCTGTAAGGTCTTATATAGACATGTGTGTGCCTTTCCTAATCCAGTCCAATCAGTTCAATCAAATGAATGCTTATGACCATTTGATATTTCTTTTTTTTGTTTTGTAATAAATTTGCAAAAATTTCTACAGTTCTGTTTTTTTCTGTCAAGATGGGGCGCTGAGGGCGTGCGCCTGTTAGCGCAGTGGTTAGTAAGCACGACCCATGCACTGACCCGGGTTTCAATCAGGCCTGTGGTCCTTTGCCGCATTTCTCTCCCCCTCTCTCATACCCCCCTTTCCTTTCAGCTTAATGTCAGAAAAACGAGCCACTAGTGCCTTAAAAAGAAAAAGAGCGTACATTAATGAGAAATTAAATTTACTTTATTGATTTTAGCAAATGGCTGCAATGAAACAAAGAATTAAAAATTTAAAGGGGTCTGGATATTCTTAGAATGGATCAAAGATTCTTAGAATGTTATTTGCTAATATACTGTATGCATAACCTTTAGTTGATTCTTTATCATTTTAAGGAGCTATTGAGAGCTGTTATGGAGGCTCCAATAAGCTGGAGGACTTCTGACTTATCAGACGTTGCTCAGTTTCTCAGAAGCCAAAATGAATTAATTTTACAGCCTCATTCTAAGTTTCAATGGATACTTTATTCTTAAAGGGAAAAGAATGAAATAAACCGTTAGCTTTTAGGATCAGAACCCCAACAGAAAATTGTACCTTACTTTGTTTTGACATTGGCAGTTCTGCAGACAGAATGTCTGTTCGTTTCCTGGAGGTTTGTTTTTTGCCCACTAGAGTAGTCTGTTTTTTGTTTTTTGTTTTTTTCCCAACTTAACCAGCTAAGCCTAATTGCACAGTGACTGTGTTCTGGAATGACAAATCCACGCAGCTTTTAAAGGAATAGTACACCCAAAACATGATTAGCCTTCATTTTCTACTCACCCCCATGCTGAACAACACTCTGGAGTACTTTTTTGATATCTCAAATGCATCTGGAGATCTGGGAGGCTTCTTGCTGTCTGCTGACATTCAAATAATGGAGGTCTATGGTGCCCGAGGCAGAAAGGTCCATAAAAGTCCACAAAAAACGTGTCAATATTCCTCCATACTGCTCGTCCAATGTATTCCAAGTGTCCTGAGTTGGTAGCGTCCATAATTTACTTGAAACGAAGTCATTTAGAATGTTTTTAGAGCATAAACAGTAGTGTATAGGATTTCCTAAAAGCGTGCGCATGCGAGTTCACGAGTCTACGGAAAATGCGGCAGACCAAACCAGATGAAAGTGCGCATTCAGCGTCTGCTCTGCCGATAATGCAAGCGTAGAAGAAGAAATTCGCTGTTTACCTGTGCAAAGAAAGAAACAACGAAAGAAAAATGTCTGAGGACTTCAGTGTTGAGGAAGAGCATGAGTTCTTTGCCGAGCTGAATGCGCACTTTCATCTGGTTTGGTCTGCCGCGGTTTCCATAGACTCTTTTTTTTGTGGACTTTTATGGACCTTTCTGCCTCGGGCACCATAGACCTCCATTATTTGAATGTCAGCAGACAGTAAGAAGCCTCCCAGATCTCCAGATGCATTTGAGATATCAAAAAAGTACTCCAGAGTGTTGTTCAGCATGGGGGTGAGTAGAAAATGAAGGCTAATCATGTTTTGGGTGTACTATTCCTTTAAGCTCCAAGAAATAAATAAAGGCAATCCACAACATAGACACGTGACTCGGTGGTTCAAATGGGAATATTTATAATACCCATCTCCATCATGAGATCCTTTTAATATGATTTGTTGCAAATATTTACCTATGAACCAGATTGCCTGTTGTTACAAATGTGGTTTGGCTGCCATGAAAGAAAAATAAACATTTGTCTGTCCCTGTTTTTTTAGGATAAGACGAGAGTAGTTTCTCCTATCATTGACGTCATCAACATGGACAACTTTCAGTATGTGGGAGCCTCAGCTGATCTGAAAGGAGGTCCTTTCAATTCTTACATCTTGCAGTTTGCATTGTCTGATAACGACTCATGGGCAAGTGGTAACTGTTATGTCTCTGGGTCTGTTGTTAGGCTTTGACTGGAATTTGGTCTTTAAATGGGACTATATGACCCTGGAGCAGAGACGAGCCAGACAAGGCAACCCCATCGCCCCCATCAAGTGAGTCATGCTCGCATTCCTGAATTGAACCTGTTTGCCACTCCAGAACATCCACCTGATCTCTCTGCTCGCTGCACCTGTAGGACGCCGATGATTGCTGGAGGTCTGTTTGTCATGGATAAGGAGTATTTTGAGCGTCTGGGAAAGTACGACATGATGATGGATGTCTGGGGAGGAGAAAACCTGGGTATGTCACTTTGAGGAAATGCAGATGTCACCCAAGAAAATGAAATCCTGAAATAAAACTGCATTGATTTCTTTTTTTCCAAATTTAGGACATTAAATGATACCGTTTATATTGTGCAAACCAGGCTTCCTTGAGGTCTGATGTCCTTTACCTTTAAGATGTGTCTGCTTTCAACAAGCACATCTAAAAGTATGCAGTCGGGTTCTCTAGAGTCCTGCTTAAGACCTCTATAGAGAAAAAATCCTCATTGGGAAAATTAGCTGCCCTGTCTTTATTGAGTCTGTCTCTCTATTAGATTTAAGGTCAGTTTATATTCAGGCCATCATTTTTGTGTTTGAAACCACATATGAAAAAAAACTGTATTTTTGTATATATACAATAAAACATTAAGAGCAGACGATGTAACAAAGGGAAATGAAGCAGATTCTCACTGCAGGAATGAAGGAGCCTCAATTCTGCCCATCAAGCTTCATTTTCACCCACTCCGTTTCAGTCCCCTAACGGTAAGATTTTTGCAAGCTGGATGAATTTGAATAGCCGAGAGTTTGCATCCAACAGTTGCCATGGTGATCAGGTTGAAACGTCTGGCTTCGGCAAACTGCCCATCAGCATGATTAGTCCCAAACGTTTGGGAATTTTCTGTGTTTTTAATCCTCGTTCAAAACAAAATCTGAATATAAGGTTTCATGTGAAGCGAAGTACATTTTATGTTGCTTTGGACTAGTGTACAACACATTGTGTATACAGGGCGGAGAGATACAGGTTGCTGGTAAAGAATATGATCATCAAAAGTCAGCCACGAGACACTCATTTTTTTGTTTTTATCAAATTTTCGTTTTACTGCAATACAAAACAAAACCTAAATCACAATCACCTAATCACAATTTGTTATCTCTTTTCTGTTTTTTTCGTGTTTGTTTTGAAAGAAAAAGTGAACTGCATTGATGTACACAGACTGTTTATAAGAGGAAATGAGCAGTGAATTGACACTATAAAACCATGAAACTGAACTGAAACTGAGGTTTACATTTACAGGTTGCATACATTGGGGCTTCTATTCAGTTTCTATTTAGCTTAATTAAATTCTTCATTCAGTTTCCAAATAATAAAACTGGATTATGAAAATAATCTGCATTCAAATATAACACTAAAATTAAACTGAATCCCCTGTATGGAAAGTATAATAATTCATTTATTTAATGGTTCCTGGAAAGTTTCTCCAAAGACATAAATAAGCTGCATTTTCTGCAGGTTTTCTTCTGAAATGTTGTTTTAGGGTAAATTATTTCCCTTTATTTAAATTCAGCTCAGTTTGATGCAATTTCATTTATTTATATTAGGTTTCATGCTGTTCTGTGAAAAGCATAATAATGCTCCGTTAATGTGTTGTGTTAACGTTTAGTGCCCTAAACTGCAGCCCAGCTGTAATCTCTCTGCTGTTTTGGCTCCCACTGATTACTTCCCCCTCATGGAGCTCCCACTCTGCTTACAGATCAAGCTCTGTGCTTCTGTCTCATGACCTGTCAATAAACCGTCTGCATTTTCTTGCCCAAGCCACAATATAGCCAACGTCTGTCAGTAATTATATTCGCAGGTTAGAAAATGACAATGCTCTGATAATAACAATGCTGAAATGCTGAGTAAAACTAACTTCTCTACACAATGGAGATCATTTGCAAATAGTGGAGGGCTATAGCTGCAGCTTTGTCTCCCTGTTGCCTGTATTTTGGATTTACTCTGCGAATGAGAGCAGAATGACAGAGCGATTGACGGCGCTCTCTGGGAGCCGCAGTGATTCAGAGCTGGATTGACAGTCCAGCCCCCTCGCTCACTCATTTGCTCATTTTCATTCAAACCCAGAGAATGTCAGAGCAAACTGCTAATTATTAAACTCCCTTCAACTATTTAGAGGTTGTAGCAGATTCGGTTTGTTTACTTGGGTTGGGTTCTTCTCACCACCCGCTTGTTGTAAACAGAATGTGACCAGTGTCTTTGCTTTTTCAGAGATCTCATTTCGTGTGTGGCAGTGTGGAGGCAGTCTGGAGATCATCCCTTGCAGCAGGGTTGGCCACGTCTTTAGGAAACAACACCCTTACACCTTTCCTGGGGGCAGTGGGACTGTATTTGCAAGGTAACACGCATTCCCCTGCTAGAGCTTAATCTGTTAAATTTGGTGCTCTGTTTCCTGAAGCTCTACTTTTCATTGGTTAAACTCCATGTTTTCCTTTAATGGTGCCACTGGGAAACAAAAATATTAACATTCATTGAGGAGCCTTTTTTTTTTATTCTGGTGTTTTTATTGCACAATATCTCAGAGGGATTTCCTCAGTTCTTCAAAATGTGATGTGTGAGATGTGACATAATTGCTATAAGGGTAACAATTAATATCCAGTTATACTTTTATCTTTTTATCTAGTCCTGAAACTGAGCCCAGTGAACCACCAGGGTGCTCATTAGGAATATTTGAGTGGATCAGTCAGCAGATAAAGGGTGCATTTTAAAATGGTTTTGGATCCTTTTGGTTTTTTCTTGAATATTTTTAGTATCAGATCGTCATTATCTTCAGTTAAAGTTTGAAACGACTGAAGGATCTTCAGTGGCAATTAGGGAACAGCAGAGTCCCCACAGCAGTGCAGGATGACTCTTAAAAGTACCCAGACGACACAGCAGATGGTTTCTCCTGGTAAGATGGGAAAGAAATCCCCTGAATAAATTTTACCTGTGGTTATTCCCACAGTATTGTCTCACAAATTTAGTAACTGAAGGATTGAAGATTACTTTTTTTCCTCCAAGAATCTAAAGTAAATGTGTTCTTCTATCTGTATACAGAAATAGAGACATCTGAATTTAGCTGGCTGTGGTTCTCCATCTCGCCCTTGAAATTAGGCCCCAGACAGTGTTCCTGTGGCTGCTCCTTCTGGGACTCTTCATAATTGTCCCGGAGGGAGCTGCATTTCCAGCATAGCCGAGCAACAAACAGCTTCCTGAGGCCAGGCCGGCTCACATTTAATGTGGAAAAAAGTAGCTAAAATAAGTTTGTAGGGACATCTGCTGCAAGTACATAAAAGTTAACTAAACGGAGAATAAAAAAAATATGCAAGCTTACTAGCACACCCAAAGCTGCTCCTCAGACCAGATGCAATTCATATTGTGCTTGTAAATGGGATGAAACAGTAAGTTCAAAATTTTCTGTTACAGATTATATCCTGATGAGTAGACCTCACAAAGCCACTATGGAGGCTTTGGTAAAACGACAGACCATGGAGAGAGTCTGTTCACATGTGAAGTTATTTTGGATGTCAGTAATGACAGTAGTAGAATCATATTTTTGGGGGAAATGACTTTAACACATGCTGGCAGAGGATGTTTAGGCATTTAAATCAAAACTAAAAACACCATGACTGAATATTATTGCTAAAAATGTTAAATACATTTATAATATAAAACTATTTTCTCTATCTTCCTAATTTGAACTTAAAGCTTCTGAAAGGCCTAAATGATGAATAATTTAGTTTCATTTCACTTTTAAAAAATTTTACTTTTTAAAACATTATGACTTATTTTATGCAAGTGCTTTCGACTGAGCAGCATGCCTGCTTAACACAGGGTTTGAGGTATGCAAGTGCATTACTATTCAAAATTGGATGTGCATTAGTGTCCACTAGTAATTTCTATTTTTGCTTAATTTTACAGCTGATTTTGGTACTGTAACCGTTTAAATTCGTTTGTTAGTTTGTATTGTTTTTTATGTGAAATGTATGTTTGCATTTAAATTAAATGATGATTTAATAAATTAAACCTTCCATTAAGTGAGCAGGAGAGCACATTTAAAGCCTTAATATACAGATATTTATCACGATTCAGAAGCTATAAAGATTATTACCCTATCTGTGGATTAGAAAAATAATCACTTGGAGCCAATAATCAATTAAATCAGTAATTACTGATTGAGCTAAGGCACTACCACACTGCTGCTCAATTACTGCATTCTTAACTAATAATAGAAACCTTATTCTACAAACTTAATCAGTCTAGTGATCTGGAAAATCACTAGACTGAATAAGACTGATTAGTGGAAATAGAAAAATGAGAGGTTTAAAGACAGACCTAATCCATTTGGCATTGCATCTCCTCCTCACTAACATGACATCTGAAGTAATTTTACAAAAGTCTAATATGAAGTTCAAAGAAGCATTTTTCAGAATTAATCCTTCTTTCTTTCTAATTGTATGTGTTTTTTCTTTCCCCCTGCTGCTGTCCATTGGGCCTTTCATGATGCCATATCTCTTACTTAGTTTGAAGAGTATTATAGAATAGAATAGAAGTATTCAATTCAGTTTATTTATATAGCGCCAATTCACAACACGTCATCTCAAGTCACTTTACAATTCAGCAGATCGTACAGGCAATTTAATTCAATGTTTTCTATCTAAGCAAAACTAATTGATTGCAGCGACTCATTGACTAGAAGGTAATCCCCCACACTAAGCATCCTTGTAGCGACAGTGGAGAGGAAAAACTCTCTTTTAACTGAATAAGCCTGCAGCAGAAACGGGTTCAGTGTGAGCGGCCATCTGCTGAGGCCGACTGGGGTTCAAGGAGACAGAAGCAGACATAGAAAAAGAAGCATAGATACAAAAGTCAACTTTAAAAGGCGGCTCGTCCAGGAAACACACAGTAAGGCAGACAAGATCTGAGCCACCTTCTTCCATCTCAGAGGATGAAGAGAGAATATCCAGCACGTCACAGTCAGAGAAACAGGACTACACTGAAAAACAGGCTGATCTTCAATATTTATAAACAAATTTGTTGATGGCAGCATCACAGCTGATGTTTCAATCCGGGGTTGTGTCACAGCCAAACAGGAACAGACTAGGCGAAGCTACTATGAGGAAAAAGCAGAGAGAGCATAACGTTAGAGATTGAACTAACAGATTCTGCAGAGTGGGAAAAAAAGAGATAGAATGAAGCAAAATGAGAAAAAAAGGGGTCCCTATGTCCTCCAGAAGTCTAAGCCTATAGCAGCATAACTAGAGAGATAGCTCATGATAACCCAAGCCACTCTAACTGTAAGCTTTATCAAAAAGGAAAGTTTTAAGCCTATCCTTAAAAGTAGACAGGGTGTCTGCCTCACAGACTAAAACTGGTAATTGGTTCCACAGGAGAGGAGCCTGATAACTAAAAGATCTGCCTCCCTTTCTATTTTTAGAAATTCTAGGAACAACTAGTAAACCTGCTGATTGAGAGCGAAGTGCTCTGTTAGGCACATAAGGAACAATCAGATCTCTGATATAAGATGGAGCTTGGCCATTTAAGGCTTTACATGTGAGGAGAATTTTAAATTGTATTCTGGATTTAACAGGAAGACAATGAAGAGAAGCCAGGATAGGAGAGATATGATCTCTCTTTTTAATTTTCATCAGAACTCTGGCTGCAGCATTTTGGATCAGCTGAAGGCTTTTAACTACAGTTTGTGGACTTCCTGATAGTAAAGAATAACGATAGTCCAGCCTTGAAGTAACAAATGCATGGACTAGTCTTTCAGCATCACCCTTGGACAGGATATTTCTTATTTTTGCAATATTCCGCAGATGAAAAAAGGATATTCTAGAAACCTCTTCGAAATGGGATTTAAATGACAGGTCATGATCAAAATTAACAAAACATAAAGATTTTTTGTTAAGTATCTGAGATCAGTTTAATCCCATACAAATGAAGAGACTGACTAATCAGTTTCTTTTTCAAAGTCCAAATACTATACCTTCTGTTTTGTCTGTATTCAGGCACAGAAATTTAAGAGTCATCTTAACTTTCTGACATTCCTGTAATCTATGTAATGGGTGAGCTTCATCTGGATTTATAGACAGATATAGCTGAGTATCATCAGCATAACAGTGGAAATTAATCCCATGCTGTCTAATAACTCTACCAATTGAGAGCATGTATAAAGTAAAGAGAATTGGTCCTAGCACTGATCCCTGTGGTACTCCACAGATAACCTTTGAGCATGTGGAAGATCTGTCATTAACGTTAACAAACTGAAAATCGATCAGATAGATAAGATTTAAACCAGTCTAGGGCGGTTCCTTTAATTCCTACAAAATATTCAAGTCTTTCTAAAAGAATATTATGGTCAACTGTATCAAATGCAGCACTGAGATCCAACAGGACGAGCACAGATACAAGTCCATTATCTGAGGCCATGAGAATATCATTAGTGACTTTCACCTGAGCTGTTTCAGTGCTATGATGAGCTCTAAAGCCAGACTGAAACTCTTCAAAAGTTCATTATGTTGTAAGTGATGGCACACTTGTTTGGCAACTACTTTCTCAAGAATTTTAGATAAAAAAGGAAGATTGGATATAGGTCTATAATTGACCAAGTCATCTGGGTCAAGAGACAGTTTCTTAAGTAAATGTCTTTTTACAGCAACCTTAAATGCTTTTGGTACATATCCCTGTAACAGGGAGAGATTAATCACATCTAAAACGGAGAACGAGATGAAAGGGAATAAGTTGAAGGCTTAGATGAAGACGATAGTTTTACTAACTCAAAGTTCAACTGCTGAAAGCAGTCTAAACCCAGTTCAGATTCTTTTTTTTTTTTTTTTTTTTTTTTTTTTCTGTGTCTGGCAATGTGGCAATAAGAATAATTGTCTTGATGCCAAAAAGAGAGCCCAACAGATTTTTCTTTCACAAGTGGAGCAGTACGGCTATTGCCACAGTGTTCCGCTTGATTTATGCATATAAATAGCTTTATTATAATTCATGAAAGGAGTATTACGGATTATATGGACACTGCAATGTAAGTGGAACAGCAAAGAAGAAAAGGAAAAAAAACGAGAAAAGATGAAAGAAAGAGGAGATAAAGGGAGATAATGATAAAACATCTTCAGCCTGCTTCATCACCTGCCTCAATACCCTAGTCTCACTGTGCTTGCTGGTATGAAGATGAGAATGTGTGGTACTTTTCACATTTTCAACAAAGCCAAGCTAAGATAGCATTAGAGGCTGCAAAAAAAATGTTAAAGTCCCACACTATGATGACTGTCAGTATTTAACATCAAATCAGACAGGAACTCTGAAAACTCATCTAAAAATTCAGAGTAAGGACCTGGTGGACAATACAAAGTTAAAACAAGAAGAGGTTTTCTTGTTTTGCAATTTGTATAAGGGAAACTAAGGGTTAAATGTTCAAAAGAGTTGTAGTTATTACGGATTCCGACATTGTTTTGGCAAATTTAATTGAGTTCAACTTTATTGTCATTACAATGTCAAGTGTAAAGTTGCGAAATTCACTCTTTGCATTTAACCCATCCCCTTTGGGAGCAGTGGGCTGCCATTGTGTGGCGTTCGGGGACTAGTGTGGGGTTAAGGGTCTTGCTCAGGAACCCAGAGTGGACGCTGTGGGAATCGAACCAGGTACTTGCAACCTTCTTAGAGCGCACTGCTCTAAGCACTAGGCCAACACTCCCCCCATTATTTACTTCCAGGCTCTTCTTAGTTTGTCACTGTTCTCCTTTCTCAGATTTCTGTATTTTTAACTGTTAATTTCTTCCTTTTCTCTTTTCCTCTGCCTTTTTTTCTTCAGGAACACGAGACGAGCAGCAGAGGTGTGGATGGACGAGTATAAGAACTTCTACTATGCTGCCGTCCCTTCGGCAAGAAATGTGCCCTACGGGAAGTGAGTTCAATCAAACTTTAGTCCCACCTGAAAATAAGCATGTATAGACTGCTGGGTCACCTCAGTGCAAAATAATTTATGGGAATAAAAAGTACCTCAGTATATCAGTACATTATATCAACTTGCTTCATTGTAATTGGGACACCTTGGAAAATATAACAAACTAGTCTTGAAATTAATGTATTTTGTTGCTGCAGCATAATCTGTCCTTAAAAAATGCAAAAATGGTTGAGTGGGAACCCTTGTTAAGAGCTGTGACTGTGAGGAGAGGTGTTTTTATTAGGATATTTATTGAACATTTAACAACTCATACAAACAAACATAGCTGGTCATTTACATTGCAAAGAAGTGAGGGATAACAACCTAAATAACATTAGCAGTATTAGACACATGTACTGTATGTGTACAAGGTAAGTAATAGTATGTTTCAGTTATCGTAGATCCACATAGCTCTACAGTCATGCACAGGACATCAACGGATTAAAGTCAAACTTCAGTCCCAAAGCCTTCAATTTTTGTAGAAAAGATCCATCCTTCCGTCAATATGATATCCCAGTTTTATCAAACCAAGAACATCCAGGATCAATGACTCCCACATGGTGATGGAGAGGGGCTCATGTCCGACACACTTCAACATATTTTGCCATTATTAGAAGAGTTTGTATAACTTCTTCCTGCCTTACAGACCAAGCCTAGTAGCTTGGTCTTTATTAAAAAACTTTTGTCTGTAATATAATTCATTTTTATTCTGCACCTATCTAAATGTTTTGTGGATGTCTTATTTTTAATACAGATTTGTTTCGTTGAAAAAGTTGCAGCTATGACCTTTGAAAATGCGGCAGGAGGATTTAAGACTGGCCTGTGGTTCTACGTTAGTGCAGCCTCCACACAACACACCTTCAGCCCTCCACTATGGTCTTTTTTCCACCTTTGGTCAAAATTAAATCAAACTTATTTATACGGCACATTTAGGAACAACTTCCACTGGCGTGGGTGCTGCATACACAAAAAAACAAGTAATAGTAATTCTAACTTAATAAAATATGCAGACATAATATAAAAACAGAAATAAAAACATAAAAACTACAACAGATGGAACTTTCACACTGTTGAGAGCCAACGAGTAAACATTTGTTTAAAAAGTGACTATAAAAATAGTTGATTATTAAAAAAAATATATAAATACTTTCTGTTAGAAGGCTAGCTGCAGCATTCTGAAGCAGATGCATCCTAAGAGGAAAACCTGGCTGATATCAACATACAAATAATTAATGTTCTAAAGTTGGGAGCTACTAAAAGTGTGAATTGTTTGTTTAAAGATAAAATAATTTTTATCTTTGAAAGTAGTCTTGGTTTAAAAAGAGTCTTTCTCCAACAGATCTGATCTGCTTCTCAAAATTGAGGCTGGAATCAAGATTTCAATTTATGTCATTGTTTTTTATTATTCAAAGGCCCGAACAAAACCAAAATAGATTTCTATTATCAAATCAAAAAATTTACATTTTCATGCATTATTTTAGAAACTGACAACCTCTCCTCTAAAAGTTAACTATGACATTTTGTTTTTTGGAGCCCAGTCCCATGTTAGTATATTTTTTTTAATTTATATATATATATATATATATATATATATATATATATATATATTAATATATATATATATATATGTAAATATATATATATATATATATATATATGTAAATATATATATATATATATGTAAATATATATATATATATATGTAAATATATATATATATATATGTAAATATATATATATATATATGTAAATATATATATATATATATATGTAAATATATATATATATAGAGATATTTATATATGTGTGTATATACTATATTAATTAGGGCTGAAATAATTTATGTGATTAATAATGATTGACCCGTTATTGAAATAATCATAAACTAATTTAATACCGGTAATTGATAAATCATGAATTGGAGCATTGAGACTCTAAAACATGCCTGTAGCTGACAGAGCAACCCACTTACAGCAGAAATTATTCCAAAATTGTGAAAGAAATATGTTAACATTTTGCATTTAAGATAAAAAAAAAACTTTTTCTTCTGTCAATATGATCTATCCTGACAAGATAGAACGCCTTAAGTGGAAAAGTTTTAGTTTCACTTGGTTTAATATCGCAAAAAGTCTTCTTTAAGGAATCTTTTGTTTTTCGATTATTTATCGATTAGTCGAAAATATTATCAACACATTAATTAATTTGCAAAATAATTGTTAGTTGCAGCCCTAATTTTCATCTTATCCTTGTGCCTCTGAGATAAATCACATTAAAATCTTTGTCAGTGGCATCTGATATTATAGACTCATTAAGGGAGTCTGAGCTGTTATTGCCTCCTAATGGATTTTACAGATCTTCTTTCTACACTAACTATCTACAATTATGATTACATTAAACTTTAGAAGCACACTGAAGACTTCAAGTTGCCATTGTCTGAATGCACGTGTTCTGTGTGTCTCAGTATCCAGAGCCGCTTGGAGATGAAGAACAGATTAAGCTGTAAGCCATTCAAATGGTACCTAGAGAACGTCTACCCAGAACTGAGGTAAGAGTGTGAAGAGTCTCAGGTAGCACGGCTTCAATTAATTAGTCAACATAGAGCACTTTTCCTTTGGTCGTATGTAACACAATCTGTTTTATAAGGTTTTAAATTTATAAACACAGACCTTTACCACTCCAGAAACACAATGAGGTATCGGAATATTTAAATAAACCCGACAGACAAAACATGTAATTAGTAATAAAACAAAAAATAATTGAAACACAGGAAGTCAATCAAAGACCTGCAGCACTAGATATTAGTAAGGCAAGAATACTGGATAGACATGTACAAGTATATGCTTCATAAAATATATTTTTTAAAAACACTTTCAGATAAGAGGTTTAATGATGAACATGCGTCACTGGATCCACTATGGTTTTCTGAGTTCTGTAACCATTAGCAACAGTTATAATTAAGCATAGAATTACATTTTGGTAGGTTTAAAGCTCATCTCTTGCATGATTGAGTTTATTGTTTAATGTAATGTATAGAACAGATCTGATTATCAGTAGCTTTGCCCTGATTTAATGAAATGGCTTGCTTTTCTCATCTCAGCCCCTTTTCACTCTATGATGTGTGTTTCCTGCTGCTTTATAATTCAGACATATATGCAGGTGTAGCAGATAGCCCCAGTGATAGCAGTTAGCATTTTATTCATGTAGCAGTTAAATATTCCAGGAAGAACTGGGATACGGCTGATCCATCACCAGTTCCTGCTGATCTCTGCCACCTGCTTAACAGACTTTATAAATCCTACAGCAGATCTATGCCTGTATTGTCTTGTGCTTTTCAAAAAAAGCAACAAGAGAAGTTATTTTCCATAAAGCACATTTAATTTGGTAAGATGACGCATGAGACAACCTTGAAAAATCTAAAGAGTTTTCAAGTGGGTGTTGCTGTTATACAAACCTAAACAGAGACAATGGTTTAGGTACTGTGTTGTTTTTAAAAACATAGCTTTTAGCCGTAAAATCATAAATAAATGATGATGAAGGCGCAGCCTCCTAATATGTGGTGAATATGTTTCTAGGGTCCCAGATCATCAGGACATTGCCTTTGGAGCCCTGCAGCAAGGAGGAAACTGCTTGGACACCCTGGGGCATTTTGCAGACGGGGTGGTTGGTGTCTATGAATGCCACAACGCAGGAGGAAATCAGGTAGTGATTCAGTGACACAGAGGACTGTTTAATGGGATGCTTGAAGAAAAAACTGGGAATAGGTTTGCAGAATAAAAAGGAAATCACTAAGTGTAAATGTTTTGGTGTCATTTGTCACTTGTCAAACCAGTTTAATGGAGAGAAAAGTTGAGCTTCATAACGGCATCTTTTCTTTTTACTTTGATGTCTAACTGTGAAAGGAGAAATTGGAAACTAATAACTAGCTAATCTTTAACAAATACCTGCAGGTAGGTACAACTGCTGTGACCGGTTCCTTAAGGATTAATTCAACAAAAAAAAACAAAAAAAACATAAGTTTTTACATCATCTTCGCTCTATGCTTCACTGCCATGCTTCAACAGAGGTCTGTTTTCTAAAAGATTGATATTTCATATTTATGGATTGCTTATTTCTGCCACCTACTGGCCTGGAGGAGTTGCATGGTTTACTTTATAACTTCTCCCTACCTCCTTAAGCTGATGGAATAAACTTTCCTCCACCTTGCTAAGCATTTGAAACAACAAGCAGACAGGTTATACAATTGTTGTTTTTGTTTTTTTTATAATTGCCTTAGAGAAATTCAACCCTTCAATGAATGGAAAACCGTTTAATGTGATATTGTGCAATATGCCTTTTAACTGGTCTATTTCTGCAGATCTCCTAATATTGAGCTGAGCTATGGGCGGCTTTTCTTCCTATGCCCCGCTGGCTATTAGCTCCCTGTACATGTTTCTCCCTGAATTACAAAAAAAAAAACTGTCAGTATTTTAATTAGGGTAATGGAAGCAGGCTGATCTAGCTAACCTTGTCTCCTGAATCCTTTAACCAAAGCATAGTTCATCTGTAAAGACATTAGGTCATAAAGAATAGAAATAAATAAACTGAGCATCATATCTGGATATTTTTACCCACCATCTACATAAAATCCCTTTTATTACCTGCCTTGAACATTAATTTTTGCATCCTTTTTTCCTTTATTTCTAAGGAGTGGGCCCTAACCAAAGACAAGTCTGTTAAACACATGGACCTGTGTCTGACTGTGGTGGACCGGACGGCCGGCTCCCTCATCAAGCTGCAAGGATGTCGAGAGAACGACAGCAGACAGGTACAGTTAAACAGAATGACTGGGATCAAATGTTTTCAGTGTCCTTCCAGAAGCTTCTGACTGTAGTGAATCCTAGTTCTCTTTGTTCACACTCACCAGTTCAGCTCTGAACACAAATTATTCAATGAGGCTGAGATCTTGGCCTCCAAAAAAACCCTTTGTAGCTTAATTAGCTGTATGCTAAGGGTTAATTTCCACCCAAGCTTTAGCTTCCAGGCTGACGTCTCTGAGATGCTGTTTCCCCCTGCAGCTAAACACACTGAAACATTAAACCACCTGACTCAGACTTTGCAGTTTAACAAAGCTTTCCTCAGACTTTCACGCTTTAACTGTAACAATGATCATTTTAGTTTAACGAGACCACAGGATTTCTCTCCAAACATTATGATTTTTATCCCTGAGTGCATTTGCTATAAACGGCCTTTTTATGTTACTTTTCGATAAATAGTTTCTTCCTCTCTGAGTGGGTTTCAGCTCATGCCTGTACAGCACGTCTTTCACTGTATAATTAAACAATTTTCAGTTTCAACCTGCATCTTTTAAGTCTTTTCAGTCTTTCAGAACATTTTGGAAGAAATCTTTAACCCCAGAACAAGATAACCGGTCTCCTTAACTGGATGTTCTTATGCTTTTAATATGCATATAATAGTTTTAATAGAATAATGTTGCACCTTTAGACACCTGGAAATTGAACCATAGGATAAAGCAAACAGATTTTTGTATTCCAGTAATGTAATAATGCCTTATGCATACACAGCTTTACCTCCACTAAAATGAGGTTAAATGGGAGAAGCCGAAAAACCCTGGCATCATTTTCTTAGCTTTTCCAAAATTGATTATAATGCCTGTTTATCTGTAAACATCTTTTGTTGAAAAGATAAACGTTTGGTTAATAAAATGATTGATTCTTTTATCCAGTGTATGCACAGCTCTAGTTTTAGCCTGATGGAGAAATAAAGCCACCCACAGGTAGCGGCCATCTGTAATGCCCTTTTTAAATTTTTTTGGCAGAAATGGGAGCAGATCGAGTCCAATTCAAAGCTTCGTCATGTGGGCAGCAACCTCTGCTTGGACAGCCGGAGCGCCAGGATGGGCGGGCTGACAGTGGAGGTCTGTGGACCGAGCCTAAGCCAGCAGTGGAAGTTCACCCTGAATTTACAATCATAGGGGGCGCTGCTGAGCCCCTGGATATCTGACTGAGAAACAGACGGATAAGTTAAAGACTGGAGGAGAGGGATGGACTGGAGTAGTCCTCGTCTTTTGCAGAGATGCAGCCGGTTCTGTCTCTACACCCCTCCCCCCCACCTCTCTCACCCCCCCTCTCCCTGAATTGTTGAGCCAGGCCCATGGGGGGAGGGCTTGTAGACCATAATGGAATAAAGCGGACACTGACTCTACGCAGCAGATGGATGATGAGTATGGAAGAGTCTTTTGTTTCCAACGACATACCTCGGTCTTCGGTCATCCAAGGCTCCAGAGACGGCGGGACTCATTTTCCTTCTTTAAATGCTGGTTGAAAACAAACTAAATTCTTTGGTGAACTGTTTTCCTTTTCTTATTCTTTCTTTCTGTTGAATCTCGTCTGAAAGCTGCTGGAGCTTTTTTCCTGATTCGTGATTCATGTAACAGAAGGTGGAGGCTTCGTTTTGGGGTATTTTGTGGATGTTGGGTCCTGGGAAGGATAACGTGGACTCGACTCCTCGAGCCGTTCCTCTGGTTTACTCTCACTTGTTTACAGAATTGAAAAGAGGAGAGAAAAACTCTGTATTTTACTTTCCTTGTCTCTCATTTCCAACCCATTGTCCTTGGAAGCGTCTTTACCTCCTCGTGGAGGGGGCCGCCTGAAGCAAAGCATGATGAAGCGCATCTCAAAGGTCTTCAAGGATGAAGCACTGGCTGCTGCGACGTCCGGACTTTTTCACAGTTTTTTAAAAAACTGCACAGGAAAACAAAACCTCATGAGTCTTTTCTTTAGTTTACTGTTGAATGGAACCAAATACGAAAGAAGAGTGTGTTTTAAGTTTCAGAGAGACCAGAGGAGCTATTAAAAGAGTTTTTTTCCATAAATACTGTGGCTGTTTTCTGACTGCTCTCTGTGGAGCGCTTTGGTTCATCTGTCTGTTTCTGTTCAGGTCTTCTCACTGGTTTTTAGACATGAGTCTCACGGTATGATCACCTTTTCACCAAATATTTTAGCAGTGAATGTCATCGTTAGGGTATTTTCTCAATGATCTAATTACTTGAACTGAAAACAGAAGCGTAGCAGTTATTTTCACTGGTGCAGAAATATCACACAAAGTCAGAGTAACAAATACAAACAGTTTATTTATTGGTCATTTTATTGAGGTTAGGCCAAACTAAAGAAGGAACACTGGGTACATTGAATTGGAACTTTAAAGTAAAGGTGCTGAATATTTGATGTTTTGCACAGATAAGTTTTCACATCTGGACTTTCTGTTATTTAAAACATCCATTTCTTTTTTACTTCATTTTTTTAAAACAGGAAAAAAAACAACAGCCAGCTGACCAACAGTGTGCAGCAACAGGTGGGAGAAGGGGAACACTTCTTTCTACATCAAACAGCTGGAAAAATATTTCTTTTAGGCATCTTTTTTTCAGTGTAAGAACGAAGTGATTCGGATCTTTGAATGCTTTTGAAACCGTAATCATTAAGTGCTTCAGTAGAAGAAAGGAGGAGGACTTCTGTTGTTTTTGAAGACGTTTACCTTCAGCTCTGCCTGCTTGTGTCTGTGATGCCTAATGTGATAGATATACTGTAAACTAATTAAAATATTTAGTTTATGTTTTTTATTTCTATCATGTACAAAGGCATCAGAGGTGCTTATTTCCCTGAGTGCATCCATCAGCACCTTGTCGCTTCAGTCAGCAGTAAGATGCGTCATCTGTGCACTGGTTTGAAGCTCCAGGAATCAGGGTGCTAATGATTGTAGTCTATGCTCCTGCGGGGGTTAGCGGATCTTTTTGATAAAACAGAGCAGGGCTGCTCTGTTTAAGCTGACCATGCTGAAAATAGGAAGCGTCTTCTTATCACAAACCAACATAGTAGCCCTTTTTTCCCATTATCTAAAGCAACAGATTTTCTGATTCAGACCATTTTAGGACTTTTATTTTTCCATCTGGTAATTTGATGCTCTGTTTTTGCAGTGATTGTGGCTCCTGCTGTCCTCCATGCATCATATTTGCTGCTGAGTTTCTCTTCACAGCTCGTCCTGAAGTGTGTCTTGAAGTTTTTAGGGGAAACTAGGTCTAATGGAGGCGATCATTGGTAAATTCAACTGCATCTAATACAGCGTTTAGACTTAAGACAGCTTTCAGACAGTGAATGAGCAGCAGCTTAGCAGGGAAATGAACATTTCTATTCATAAAGTGCAGCAGTGATCAGAAGTAAACATTGTGGGAGAGACTTGGTGCAAAAATACATTGATGGAAATTCAGAGCACTGCAAAAATAAATAGATATGGTGCAAAGAATGCAGTAGAAAACATTTGATTTGAGTTCTATTAGGTATGATGTTATCAGTGTGATGCAGAGGCTCGATTTGTGACTTCAACAGCTGTTTGATGGCAGTGGGGAAAAGGTGTTGCAGAATCTACTGGAGCTGCATTGAATGCTGCAAAGCCTCTTCTCAGAGAACAGTCCATGGTGGGGGTGTGAGGGGGTCCACATTTCCTTCCACATAAGAATTCCACATTCTTACATTCAAAACTTAAACTGCAATGTATTAAGATTGACATTTAACATCTAAAGATAATTAAAATGTTATTCGCACCATTTTCTCCTGTCTCAGAGTCATTGGTGAGGGGTTAGGATGTTGAGATGTTGTGAGGAAGTTTTATTTCAGAATGGACAGGGCAAGCTGCTCAGAGTTCATGGGAGGATGTTTTGTCCATCCCTCTCGGCAAAATTTGTCAAATTATTTTGTTAGATTGCTGCTCTAAACAAGTAGGAAATAATCTAGAATGTGGACACAACTTTACGGTGAAAATCTAAAATATTCCCATTTCTTCTACCCTTTTCAATAAGGGTTCCTGTTTGCTGCATTTTTCTAAGCATCCTGTAGACAAGGACAACATCTGGAGTGTTGTCTGATACTCTGCTGCTTACCTTCCAGAGTGTTTGTCTTCCTTTGACTTTGTGTTCGTCTTGCCCGTGTTTGCAACTGTTTTATTAAAGAGAGTACTTGATTTGACGAGGACTAGGTCCACAGCCTCTGATTAAAAAGCCAGTCCTAGACTTGCAGACTGACCACATGCATTTTCCTACCTGTTTGGAAAAAAATCTCTGTTCACACCCTTTAGGTTCCTTCTTTTATCTCCAAATGGACAAAAAAATGCTTTCTTTAGATTTTGCTCCAAAATATATGCTCATAATAATTTCCCTCCGGGTTTTTTTTTTTATTATTATTTTTTAATGGCACCGAAAATGGGTTTTCTGTGTTTAAGGTGGATTTGTTGCTAAAATCAAGAGTGATTTAAAACGAGAATGGAGCATTTTGACTCCTTAGGTTTTAGGGGATGGAGTGGGGTTTAATGGTTGCCATAGAAATATGTTCTATCTTATTTTTCTTTTTTTTTGTATGAGTGTAATTCTTCATTCTTGTCATAATCAACCTGTGAAGTCAGTTTTAGAAATTAGTTCTTTTTTTAAATCCCAAAATGTTGCTTGTTGTTTATGTCCTCCTCCCAGTATTTCAAATTATAAAATAAAAATTTAAATTAAAATCCCCAATCTGCACAAATCGAATGTCGTCCAAACATGACATCCAGGGACCAGCAGGGTTAAAGTTTTCTCCTGGTCTAATATTGTGTTAAAAACCAGCATTGTTTTCATGTAAAGTTTGCTGCTGTTTCACTTTTCTTGTACTGTTATCTTCTTTTTAGTTTAGGAAATTCCCAGGACAGCCCGGTTCTAAGAAAAATAAACTTCTTTTTTCCACCTCTGACATTTGAAATTTGAAGCACATCCTCTCCTTGATGGAAATCCAACGATATCCTGACTGAAAGTTTTCTTTTCTCCTCCAACATTTTCTGGATTAATCAAAGTTTTAAATCAATGCCAGTCAATGCAGAAATGTTTCATATGCACAGATTGGCTGTTCATCAGTATCCTACAGTTATCCGGTCATGATTAGATTTACATCAACTTTAGGTGTAAAAACTAAGGATTTATTTAAAGATCCACAGCTCCCTCTATTGCCAAACAGCTGGTGCATCAGAAAGAGAACAACTCAATGAAATGGGACGGTTCTGTCTACAAATTCACGTTAATCTTTCCAGCCAGTCTTATGATGAAATATTTGTTATTTTCTTTTCTTTTAAATCAAGTCTTACCAAGGAGACATTACAAGTGACAGCTCCTCATGTGGGTCAGATCAATAAATGTTTACATCTTTAGCACAATGTGCCAAAGCCCCTTTCTGATTTTGTGTTAGATGCTTGTTGGTTTTATCAGCTTTGCAGATTGGTGTCTCTCTTGTAATGGTTTAACATTACAGACAGGCCGCCCTTAGCTGCTGAACTCATGTCAGCTATGGATCTTTTTTTATTTTTTGACATATTTTCTTTGAGGAAAAATATTGAGAACGTGTTCCTTTTATCTCTCCATGTCATAGAAGATCAACTGAGCCATTTTTTTTTCTTTTTACATCTCACATGGGCTCCTTTCTTTGTTCTTTCCATGCATTCTTATTCTTCAACAATTTTTCTTTTGTTTTTTAAGAAGCTTTTCTTGCATCAGTGTGATCAGTTTTAAATTTCCAAACTTTCAATTTCCCTGTCAAAAACTCCCAAGACGTCCTGCTCAGAAATGTTCAGATGTCGGTTTTCTGCAAGTGCACATGCATAAGAGACAAGACACTGTTAAAGGTTTATTTACCAGAGATGGCAGATGCAGCAATCTGTGAACAATGTGCTTTTGTTGTTGATCCTGGTGATGACAGTACTAAGATTGCTTGACTCGTGGGGGGGTGGGGGTTCACACGTGTAAAAGGGTATATTTTGTATATACATACAGCCGTGTATGTATAGTTTGTACATATATACACACAATGTACTTGACAGCAGTTCCCAGTTTATTTGTCGGACTGTACGGCTTCTAACCGTTCCCTGTTTTATAGAAACTGCAGAGATTCAACTTTCAATGAGGAGAACCGATTAACTTAAATAAAACATTTATATATTCAAACTAAATGTTGTTATTTTTGGTTGTAAATATTTTTTACAAATGCTCTGGACAAATGTCAGCAGTAGCTCTGTAAAGCTAAAGCTGTTTATGGGGTCATTTGCATTATTTTTATATGAACTATAAGGTTGTAGTGTAATAAGAAGGAATATTGTTCAACTAAGAGTTTAATTTGATTTTAAAATGTGAAAACTATAAAGTGACATAAATCAACTTCCATCAAGTATGATACCCATATTTGTAAAGCTTTTTAATAGATTTTATTGTAGATCTAATAACATTATATTCTTGCATAAAAGACTCATGAGATTAATTTGAATTGAAACTTATCCTTAATTCAGCATCATTCTCAAGTATCCACACACTTCAAACCTTTCCACATATCATATATTTTATGACAAACAATACATTTGATCTCATTGTGAAATGGGAGTACAAGGATTCATGTTTTCCTATTTAGTTATTGAAATGAGTAAGCTGGTATGACATAATAAGCATCCTGTCTGCTAAACAGATCTGGAGATTTTTGAAAATTCTTATTTGCAAAATCAATTAAGTCGAGCCAGACCAGATCTATCTGAGCACTGTTTAACAAATCATGAAACATTCTCTATGTGATTAGTTCTAAACTTTAACTAATATGACTTTATCTAAACTTATCAAAAAAAGGATTGGTGCATCTTTTCCATGCCTCCCCTTCCCTACACACCTGAAACATGCTAAACTGCACCTTGGTGTACATACAATCTAATGCCAGAATATTTGATACAGAGTGTAGCAGAGACCCATATAATCATGCAGAATACCGGCAATCAAGGGGTGGAAATTGAGACCCCTTTTCTAAACCATTGTAGCTCTTTCAGTGTTTTCAATGCTGTTGTCCTGCTAGAAGGACCTTCAACCCATTTCCAATTCTACTGCAGCTTTTAACGGTTCTTCCAGTATTTCATTTTCCATCCACCCTTTCTGGCTTTCTCCCAGCATTGCTATTTTTTAACATATAGGAGAGGTATGCTATGGGTGGGTCATAAAGCGTAGTCTTATTTTTACTCTCCAAACATAACTTTGCATTCAGACCAAAAAACAAAGATTTTGGTCTCCTCTGTCCAGAGCATCTTTTTGCAGAAAAGACCTCTTCTGCTTTTCTTTAAAATGTAAAAAGAAAACCCTCTCAGGCTCAAATTAAGTTGTAGTTGCAAGAAAAATCTGATATGGGGTAGTAATATACAATTCAGAATTTTTTTGAGAGAGAGACCTCCACATGCAATGAGTTCTGGGATGTTGCAGATTTGCAACTGTGGCCCGTAGTGTTAACTTGAATATCACAAACAAAAAATTAACAAAACAAAATTCAAAAAAAAAAAAAATTCTCTCACAAAATTACAGACAACTTTTTCTCAAACTTTTTCTCCGCCGACATCTCAAAACCTCTTGAGTAGGCAGTTTCTGTTAAACTGTTGCTCAAAATATAGGCAAACTATTAGATAAATCATGTAGCATCCATTGGTACCTGTTTGGGCACACGTTGCGAATCCACAACATTGAAATCGAGATGCCTCTGGTGAAAAACCCAAAGGAGATTAAATCTACTAATTGGCATGTGTCATATCTATACACATTCATGATTCCTCTTATGTAGTATTGATTTCAAAATAATAGAAATTGGTAGTGATACTTACATGAAATTGGTGCTTAGAAAATCTGTTTTAGTGACACCAAGGACTCAGCCATGTTGAAAGTGAGTCAGCAGTGCTATCTGGTGAGCTGGAGAGAAACTGTTGCAAATGCATAACCAAGTCCTTCTGATGTACTTCTGAGTAACAAAAGCTCTTGAAATATGGATGTGGAGTAATTAGCTAAGTGGCATTTAGCTGTTGCAAATCTGCAACATCTGCCTGGAGAGGGTTACGCTTACAATTGTCGTATTCTTTCTTCTGATCTGTTTTCTTCTATGATTAACCCACTTCTAATCAAGAATGTCAATTTAGGTAGATTGCTAAATCTAGTTTGGTTCCTCTGTTGTTCCATACTCTAAAAATATCTAAAGTTTTTCCACATTTTTATTTTGTTCCTGAAGCTGCTTTAAATATCCTCACAGCTTTATCCATAACTTGTTTTACTATGTTTCTTAGTTTCCACAATACTGCTTTTCTATCAAACATTTGACCACTTCACACAACTGAATTTCCAGTGAAATGGAGCAACACAGAAATTCACTGCTAAACAATAATAAAATAATAATCATAAACTCTAAAAGATATATATTTTTTATTTACAATTATCAAATGAGAGAAAGCTAAAACATATGTAAACCACCCTGTTTAGATATGTATTAAAAAAAAATAGATTTTGTGTTAATTTAATTGCATTAAATCTTAGTAATCAAGGTTCATGTTGTATCCTTAACCCTTTATAGGGCACTTACTGAAATCCTTTGAAAATCCACATTTCAAGCCAATAGTGTTATTGGAATCCTTCTTTATTAGCGTGTTGCCTTTTTTCCTTGACTTTCAAACATTTCAATTAGCTTTGTACCTTTTTTTCTTTGACTTTTTGACTTTTTAATACATTATGTACCTTTTTATTCTTGACTTTTTAACATTTTTGTTTTTCAATTAAATTTCTAGTAGGTCATATATCATTCAATGGCTCATCTAATTGGTCAAATGCCAAAATAAGATGTACAGCCTTGTAGCAGCATGTTTGCTGAACGGCTGGATATTGATCTTTTGCTTCTAGACCTCACTGAGGGATGGGACGGACTCTATTTGTAAGGGGGATGCAAGTGATCAGAAATGGTAACTTGCCCTATAAAGTCTTTAAAAAAAAAGAAGCAAAGCTGCAGTTCTATTGTTTGTCCAGCAGGGGGCAGTGGCAGAACTTGTAGTCCTCCGCGGTGTGCCGCCGCAAAGGAAGAACTGGGCTCAGACTGGAGCGGATTATCTCACTCAGCAGACCTTCTGTTGGAAGAGGGGAGCGTCTGAGTTGGAAAATAGAAAAACTAACAAAAAACATGAAGAACGAAGGCATAGAGGGGACAGAGAAGTTCCTGAGTCCGGACAGAGGTAGAGGCCTGCGGGCGGTGAGGCACTTCGCGGTGGGGGAGCTGGTGTTCGCCTGTCCTGCCTACTCCTACGTGCTTACGGTGAATGAAAGAGGGGCTCACTGCGAGCACTGCTTCACCAGGTAACCTGCTCCTCAGCCCCCTGAAAACTGCAGGGGAAACACGTTGAAACTGAAGGGTTTAGCCAGTTTGAAGCTGTGTGTTAGCCACTCAGGCTGTTTGATGCTACAGCAGGTGGTGCTGCTCTAATAAAAGGGCTCAGTGATCATTCACCTGCATCCTACTGCAGGCTCTGCTGCTGGCAGAGGCAGGTTCACCTGCCTGGACCATCTGAAGCTGGACAGTGTAGGTAGGATATCAATAAGCTGTTGCCACACCAATGGTTAAATATATACAGAAAGGCTGAAGTTTAGTTAGTAAATAAATCCTCTTATGTTTACCACCACACCAGGTCCATCATAATAATATGTATAGGTAAGTTAATTGAAGGAGCTTCAACTGACATGTGTCCCACCCAGGCTTCCGTTGAACCAGCAAAAGGTTATGGTGCTAAATATAGCTGGCCATGTGTCCGAGGAGAGAAGAAGGCCAGGGTGCATGTTTCTGTTAAAGTGTGGGTTGAATGAGAGCACAAATATCTATTCTTAAGATATGTCAATCCCTCTTAAAATTTGATTAAAAATAATTTTATTTTGTTCAGCTGTAATCTGACTTTCAATGCTTTAGTAGAAATTGATTCTCCATTTTTACCAGGGATGCACTTATATGGGTTTTTGGTCAATAGTTTCTTTCTGACCAACTTGTTCTGATTACTGCAAATATTTTTGATAGAGAAGTAATTATCTATTTAACTGAAATCTGGTTTTATTAGATTCTAAACTGTTTATTATGCTCTCAGTCCAGTGGATATTGACAGAAAATACATCAACACATTTTGTGGCTAGAGCAGTGCTCTTGTGCTTTGAGAAGGTTGCAAGTATCGATCCCCACAGCCTGCACTCTGGGTTCCTGAGCAAAACCTTTAACCCCCGGGTGCCACACAATGGCAGCCCACTGGTAGATTTCTCCAGTGCAAGATCAATAAAGTTCAGTTATTATTATATGAAGGATTTTTTAGGTCAGCCGTCCTTTGTTTAGCTGTCGGCTTTTGATGCTAGTCATCAGCTCATCTTGTTTTTCCTTTATTTCAAGATTAAATACAATAAAAATATAACTGATAAACCGAATTAAGCCTGTATTCAATACAGGATAATTAAGTAGAGGTGGACAAATGATTTGTTTGCTTACTTAATAATCAGTGGAGTATTAACTTTATTTTTGTAAAGTGTTCATCAGGGTTAGATCGTCAGGTTTAAATGCTTTAATTTAGATCTAATAAAGAAATAATGACTTTTTTTCTCTTTGCAGGAAAGAAGATCTTTCTAAATGTGGTAAATGTAAGCAGGCCTACTATTGCAATGTTGACTGTCAGGTAAGCAGAGCTTCATTTTTTATATGTGTAGTTTCTGCATCCTTTGCCACAATTCAGAGGAACCATCATCAGTGAACAGTTTTAAACTAAAATGTTGTTGGGAGTTTGGCAGATTCAAACTATTTATTCATTTAATTAAAACCAGAGGATATTAGGTTTAAAATCAATAAGTGATGTCTGTTGTTTCATTTGTTCATGTATTAACTTTTAAACCTGAGTTTTTTATTTTTTCGACCTCCTGTTTGCTTTTATCTCCTCAGAGAGGCGACTGGCCCATGCATAAGCTTGAGTGCGTCGCCATGTGTGCATATGGAGAAAACTGGTGTCCATCAGAGACGGTCAGACTGGTGGCCAGAATCATCATGAAACAGGTAGTAGAACCAGATGTAGGAGAATCTTCACAGCTCTGTTTAGCAGACATGCACCTTCTGTTCATTTTTAAATTGACTTGTTCAGTTGCACATTTATTTAACAAGGTGAAGAACCTTTCGCAGTCTTTAGGATCTGTCACAGTCTGTGGGATCCGTCGCAGTCTGTGGGATCCATCGCAGTCTGCAGGATCCGTCGCAGTCTTAGGCATCCGTCGCAGTCTGTGGCATCCGTCGCAGTTTGTAGGATTCGTCACAGTCTGTGGCATCCGTCGCAGTTTGTAGGATTCGTCACAGTCTGTGGCATCCGTCGCAGTTTGTAGGATTCGTCACAGTCTGTGGCATCCGTCGCAGGATCCGTCGCAGTCTGTAGAATCCGTCGCAATCTGCGTGATCCGTCGCAGTCTGTGGGATCCATCGCCTTTGTGTTTTTCTGTTTCCTCCCATCTAACTTCAGTTTTAGCACTAGTCCCTTCCAGTTCTTTTAGAAGAAGCAAAGTAAAGAATATATTTCTACTCTATTTTACATAATAGGTAAAGCTTTCTCAGTTTACAGTGTGAACTGAGAAGCAGCAGTTTAATCCAAAATATAGGAAGGCAGGGATGTATTTTTGTCAGGCTGCTTATTGGCAGGAAAGCAAACCACTCTACCACAGTCCTCAAACATGGCGGTGCCTTCCAGTTTGAGTGGGCCTGAGTAAAACAGCTATTTTTAACAGCAGAAATGTGGGCATTAAAACGACTTATCCAACTGAGACTCATACTGAATATTTTAAAGCTTTTAACACTTTTCTCATCTTGAAATATATTCATTTAGTTCTGAATTTAAACAGATCTGCAAGCTGAAAAATTTAACTCAGAATGTAAAGATTTACACAATCAGGCTATAGTCTGTATAACATTGAGCCTGATTTAAAAACTGTTTGTATTTTGTTGCATAATTATGTCGTTTGCATATTTATGTGCCCTGACCAGAATATGCTCCTTTGTCTAAACTGTTCTGTTGAAGAGAGTCACGACAGAGCGGACCCCCTCAGAAAGACTGCTCCTCCTTAAAGAGTTTGAAGCACGTAAGTTATCATCCGACTCTGCAAATTAAATCACAAGCCTTTAGTTACATATTCATGCACTTTTAGTTATGTGGTGTGTGTTCGTTTGTTCTGCTCAGTGTGTTCTTGCTGTGTATCTGCAGTTTAAGCTAAGCGTCTATTAATATTCTCCACCATAGCCTCCAGTCCCGATTCTGTCTCTTTCACTCAGAGCTCTGGGACTTAAATCCCAAGTTACTGGATGCCTTAATTTTATTATTTCTCTCTGTTCCCATTAAAAGCTGCCCCGATCCCTTTAGCAAGGTGCTTGATCGGGATTGTACTCTGATAGCTGAACAATAAGAGGTTTTCTACATGTTTGGTGTATCTTTTTGTTGTCTCTTCCTGACTTCCTGGTTTGTCACCTTTTTTTTGCAGATCTGGATAAGATGGACAGTGAGAAGGAAGAGATGAACCAGGCGGACATAGCAGCTCTGCACCATTTCTACTCCAGACACATCAGTGACCTGCCCAACGACCAGGCTCTCACTGAGCTCTTTGCACAGGTAAAAACAGAACAAACAGCATGAGGCTGCGTTTATCTCCAGTCTAGGAAATACATCAGTCCCACACCAGTATCCTTTCCTAAATAAGTCACATTTTTATAACACATTTCACCAATGAGAAGCTGAAATGGACCTTTCCACATTTTCCTTGTTTCAATCACAAAGTTCGACATATTTCCTTAAAGACTGCGTTCACCAACCTTTACTGTTAAACCCTTAACAAACGATGTAACTGTTTACATTCACAAGTTTGATGCTGAAAGTTAATATATTCAGTCAGTACCTAAACCTTAGTAAAATTATTTGGGATACATCTCCAAGTTAAACCACTAAAGAGCAGCATTTTTAAGTCTCGGTTTGATTTAGGTTTGGTCTTTGACTTAAAGACAATTCTTGTACAGGAAGCTGAACATCTGCACCGAACTTCTTTTACACAAGGATGGTGAAGAAAAAATACACCTTAAACATTTTTTTTTCTGTGTCTTTTTAATACATTGCTGCACAGAACTTGTAGAACAGAACAATGGTAATATTGCAAGTCATATTTTCCTTTTTTATCTAAAGCACAAAGCAAAAAAACACAACTGCCTTTTATATAGAAAACTATTCTAATGACAAAATAAGCTTATAGTTTTAATAGTTCATGTTACTTCTCTTGCTTTAAGATTGATGATAGAAGAAATAAGGACAAAAAAACTGGTTTCATATTATAAGGGTTTCAATATGTATTTTGGCCATTTTTTTCTTTCTTAGTTGTAATCACACTAAACTGCATTTAAGTTTGCAATTCTGTAACAAAACACAGTATGTGTGATAACTGATGTGGCCCTATTTATGGACGTGAGCTGCAAAATGCAGCTTTATTTGTATTTTTCAGCAGATAGAGACGAGTGCATGTTGGGTATTTTTGACTGGATCCTGTCTGCAGCTCTTATCTCGTTAATTTGATCCATCTGGAAGAGTTGGACCGTCTTCGCGTTTACGCTGTGCTAATGGAAACAGCCTCTCTCACCTCTTATCTCAGAACTACATTAAATATCCTGCAGAATGTCCTCCGTCTCATTGGAGCTCTCACAGGACTTTAGTGAATGATCCTAGCTTTAACATTCTGTATTTCTGCTCATGCTTTCTCTTCTTTACTTGTTTTCTTTCCAGGTAAACTGCAATGGTTTCACCATAGAGGACGAGGAGCTCTCCCATCTAGGATCAGCTGTTTTTCCTGAGTAAATACTTTGCACATCATCACTGAAAGCACCCCATCCCTCCATTAAGTTCTGTACACTATCAATGTTAAGGATGGAGTTTTGATATCTCAATAATTACACATAGCCTTTATCTCCACGTCTGATTTTTCCTGTCTTTTAGGGAATCTTAATTGTTTTTTTTTTTTTTCTTATAGTGTAGCACTGATGAATCACAGCTGTAGTCCCAACGTTATTGTAACCTATAAAGGCACAGTGGCTGAGGTGCGAGCTGTACAGGAGATAAACCCAGGTGAAGAGGTAAAATTACCCTTTTTTTTTTTTTTTTTAACAAAAAGCATATACAGGATTTAAAATGTGTCTTCATTCATATTTTATTTCTTTTTACAGATCTTTAACAGTTACATAGACCTACTGTATCCAACAGAGGACAGGAGAGAGAGGCTTTTAGATTCCTATTTCTTCATGTGCCAATGTACAGAGTGCACCACCAGGTCTAAGGTATGACTGACTGCTGCCCACAAACGTGTTTGCTGTTGCAGGTCTGAGAGAAGCAAGATAAAAATAATATAAAGGTAAATGCTGAAAACGACAAACTAAATATATGTAAAGATGGATTCGATCAGTAAATCAGTAAAAAGCTGCTTTCTGTCAGATCTCCACACTCTCTGGCTTATACACTGTTATTATGGGATCCTGCTTTCCGCTTCAGACTGCCTCCAAACACACTGCTAACAGTTTAAAGTCCCATAAACCTTAGATCATGTAGCAGGCAATATCTGTTTTGCGGATTTTATTGATTACATTCCATTATTCAGCAAGTATGCTTTTCAGAAATGCAATGATTTCCATTACCACTTCCAATTATAATGTGTAATTACTATTTTAGAGCCTATAGTTCTAAAAAAAATAATTTTCTTGTTTGTTACATTTTAGAATTACTTATATCAGTGTTGATGATATTTATGTATTAGGAGTATTTTTTTTATTGCTGGTGAAAAGTCTGTCATCCAGGTCATAGTCATTCCAAATTTCATTTTGAATTGAGAAAGCTTTCTGGATGGGAAGCAAAACGTCTTCAAACTTTGAAAACAAAGTCCAGTGGTTTTGTTTTTTTTTTTTACTTTTTTGGAATTTTCTTTTATTGGAAAAATATATTATTGAATTTTCTAAAAAAAGAATAAAATAAATAAAACTGGGCCACAATTGTTAAAGAGGAGCTCCGTTTTATTTTACATTGACCCATTGATTTTACATTATCATGTTCTACTCACCCATATGAGTTTTGTGTCATTTGGAGCCGTTCTGAAGATATTCGGTTAGGTTATATCCAAGTAACGTCTTTCTTTGGGCAACGACTTGAAGGCATCATTTATGGTTCGCCAGCAGTCATAACATGGAGGCGAATCACTGTCCCCCAGACATCTGCGGTTATATTTTTTATATTTATATCTTTTAAAAACAAAGTGGTGTGTGTATGACGTCATCCGCGTGCGCCGGCTACTATTCCTTCATCCTGTCCGCTGAACTGCTGCTAGTTTTACTCACATGCCTGGAAGATGTCTAGTGCTACTACCACAGATGATCTCGCTCTCCAAATGGAATTGAACGATTCAGGTTAGCTAGCTGAATGAATAGAAGGGGTAGAAGGTAGCCGCCTGTGGCAAGGCTGCCTGTCACAACTCTAGTCCGGCGCGCGGATGACGTCATACACGCAGTGCTTTGTTTTAAAATGTACTATTTGCTTGCAAGTACCTAAATAGATTTTTATTTTCAAGGCCAAATTTTCTCTTTATTTTTTCTAAGCTTATTACTTTCCCCTTTTTAATCAGTTCCCAATATTCTTCAGACCAGTGGCGGCTGGTGAAAAATATTTTTGGTGGGGCTGATATAGCCTAGTGCAGGGGTGGTCAATTCCAGCTCCTGGGGGCCACTATCCTGCAACTTTTAGATGTGTCCTTGGTCCAAAACACCCAAATCAAGTAAATAGATGATTAAGAGGACTGAACAAACTGACAGCATACTGAGGTGGTAATTAAGCCATTTGATTCAGGTGTGTTTGACCAAAGACACATCTAAAAGCTGCAGGATACCGGCCCTCTGGAACTGGAATTGCCCACCCCTGGCCTAGTGTATGTCTCCAACTAATCCAGAATAAGAATTCAAATAAACAATTGGAAGTGAAATACAATTTAACAGTAATGATTTCATTTACTATATAATAACAGTAACAGTGACGATTTGGGTCACTGTGACGGGGTTCTTTGGCCTCCAAGAATCCAGGCTCAGTCGGGTTACCGGTGTTGGTGATTTATTGAGCTCAAAAACTCAAAACAGGGTGCAAAAGAAACTAAACATATACAAGATCCTCTGGGCCTCAGCCTCCCTCCAGTTACCAGCAATGTAACAAAGAAATAGAAAACAGAAATTGCCGCTTTTCTTCCCACAGCCCTCATTAAATAGTTTAAGCCCCTACCCTCAGGCTCTATTTCTGATTTCTTCTCATAAATCAGTTTTGTCCATATATTACCTCCACAAACAATTGATATACAAAAACAAATAATTTTCACAACTTAATTCTTTTACACAGATTCATTGACTTATTCAATTACACCAAACTGGGTTTGAACCCAGCAAAGACGCAGCCAGACTGAAGATGACGAGTCCCCGTAGCATAAACACGTACACACCCACACCCTCCACACACACACACCCACACACACACACACACATGGCTAACCCCACTGAAATATTAAGTGTGCACCCTCAATACGCCAGCAGGTAACCAGGAACAATTTGTGTGTTTTAAGTTCATGGAGCTACTTGGCTCTGCGCGAGTGTATTGGTCCTCACAAACACAGTATAACAGGAATGTGTGTGTGGCGCGCAAAGTTACAGAGGTTATTTTAAGCGACGAGGTGGATTCGTCACAGTCACAATAACCATGACATGAAATGTTCATATCCTACAACAGGGATGTTCTTCTGGCAAACGGGTAGATAAATAAGGATCTCACCGAATTTGGTGGAAGCTGCATCTCGTTCGTTACGCTCGCCATCGTCCCTCTAATTGTCTGCACCTGCGCATTGGGTGCAGAAGCCTGTTAAAGGGCAGTATTTTCAGAGCCCCAAGACCATAAATTTTTGAGACACTGATTGGCCATTAAATTATTCAATTCACCTAGCAATAGTACATGATTGGCAGATTCTCTGCAAATGTGGCGCAGTCTGATCAGCGCCCCAAGACAGAGACGGTAGGAGTCTGTCTGTGGAAATCCACAAATGAATGACAGTAGATAGGGAATTGTAGTTTATATAATTTGTTTTGCTTATAGGTACACACTCTAGAGAGTAAAACTGACATTTATGAGTTAATTTCTAAAAATATATTTTACATTTCTCTCTTCTTATCAGGGAGGGCGGTGCCCCAGCGCCCCCTATGGGCCGGCCGCCACTGCTTCAGACCCCTCGCCCACTCGCCAAATGTTTTGTCCATTGTATTCGGTTTAAAATCTGAATCATTGGCTATCCATCTTAATAATCTAAACTGCTCTGTCAAGAACTTCTTATCTTAATATTAAAGTTTGAATGCTGGAGATAAATGCCACTCTATAGTTACTACTTGTTAACTAGAAACATTTGGTTCTACTGGCGTTTATTTGGTTTTCCAGTAAATCAGGTTGACCACCATAGTTTTTGGTGTAAGAGTAAAAATGTTGATATGTTGATAAAGCCCTGTAGACTGCTACTATTAAAACATGATGCATGCCTCTGTTTCCTGCCTTCATTAATGGGCTGTTTCATTTTCTGTCCAGAATCTTCATGATTTTTTTCCTTTATCTGTTTCATTCTGCAGGATAAAGCAAAAATGGAGATCAGGAAGCTGAGCTCCCCACCAGAACCGAAGGAAATCCAGTCCATGGTTCTTTATGCCAAAAATGTCATTGAAGAGTTCAGAAGAGCCAAACACTATAAAAATATCCTCCTCCTATTAGTGCCTTAACAGTCACAGTTTTCCACTTTCCTCTCTGCTCTCCTTTTACTTCTTGCTCTTTGTCACTGCTCCTTGACTCTGTTGCACGTCCCAGCGAGCTCCTAGAGATGTGTGAGCTCAGTCTGGAGAAGATGGGAGCTATTTTTGCAGACACCAATGTCTACATGCTGCACATGATGTATCAGGCCATGGGCGTGTGTCTCTACATGCAGGACTGGGACGGCGCCATGAGCTACGGCGAGAAGATCGTTCAGCCTTACAGGTAACCTATGAGCTGGGTCTTGATCCACAAGATCCAGTTTATAAGTTTAGGGATATACACATAAAAAAAAAATGTATATATAAAAAAACTAAATCAGACCAGTTGATTTATCTTTAATCTGGATGTTTCATTTTGTTACTCTTTAAAATTTTTACAGTAGCAGCCATTCAAAATTGCCCTTCCCAGTCAAACGCCAGCAAAATCCCCTCCAGTTTCCAGCGACTGAAGTGACTCCCTCCTTCTACTGGGGGTTCATATTTTTTTACTCTGACTCCACCCATTCACTGAATTACAGGGTCTGACCAGGAGAAGGCGCTTCTCTTTAGATCTTAATGACCATAAATCATGACGGAAAGAATAGTTTAGTACAAAGATTGATGTTTAAATAGGAATTCAAGGGGACCAGCCAAGGGCCCATCATGGAAAGTTGGGAAATTTTTAATGGCTGCTACTGTAAGTTCATGTGATGAGCTTATTATTACCTATAATCTAGTTTACTTTGTTTTTTACTACAGAAAGCTAGTGTTCTTGGAATGATTGAAGCATGACAACAAAACCATCATGTCAAGATTTGCAGTTTTATTCTCAGAGACTCCTCTTGGCTTAATTTGTTTTATTACCGTTAACCCTGCAGTGTTCACTACCCGGCTTACTCTCTGAATGTGGCGTCCATGTACCTGAAGCTGGGACGCCTATACTTGGGACTTGAGAAGAAGTCTCAAGGTGTCAAAGCTTTGAAGAAGGTGATTTTTACCTGTTCGCATTTTGTTTTTTCTTACATTTCTGCAGGAAAATAAATTCTAAAGTTCATGATTAAAACAATTCAAGAGAGAAAGTAAGGTTTGTTTATAATGGTTGCCAGCAAAAGACCCTCTAAATGAACTATTACAGCACAAGTTTGTTTTGCAAAGTTGCATCTGATGAAACCAAATCAGATAACGGTGCTTATGTGCCATTTGGGTTATCACGATTTGGGCTTCTTTTTTATATAAAGCTGACCGGCCGAGCATCAAGCTCTAAGCAGAATGAACCGATTTGGGGTCAAATATTGGACCATCTGGCTGGCAGCTAAGCCTCTTCGTACAACCAAGCTGTTGGAGAGAAAAGAATCAAGAGTGTGTTTATCAAACTGCCTCTGAGCAGCTTCTGTTCACTCTTGAAATTCAAGGAAATTTTGTTAGGATATTTTTATGGCCTAGTCAAAGCCCAACCCTCATTCTGACATGCATGACATTCTTGGCCTAAACCGGAAACAAAAAATGAGGAAACCCAAAACACTGAAAGAAATTAATTTCCAATATTAGACTACAATGTGTACTAGCCCCTACTACAATCAAGGCATTTCAATAAATCAATTAAAAATTATCAATATATTAATAAACCACTAACAATTTCGTTTCATGGCCTTTGCATGACCCCCACCGACGCAGCGGGTATGTTTGGTGTCAGTTTCCTTTTCCGTGTTGCATTCTTCTCATATTCAGAATGGTGATGGGAAGGTTTGGATTTCTATAGCATCATTTTTGTGCGCACAGTGAGACCGACGTGCAGCGTTTAAACTCACACTCTCACTCAAAACCTGTCAGCCTCAAGCTCAACTCTGAAAGATTCCGCTCCTCTACCTGTGCTCTCTTGCTTCAGTCCTTTTCTGCGCACTCGTTCTGACTGTGCTGTTCGCTTCTGTGTTAAATGTCTATTGGCCGAAAACCAAAAATGCACATTTCTGTGATTTCCGATGGATACATTTTCAGTGCATCCCCAGTATTTTCTAGAGTGGGGCTCTTATCAAACCTGCTTATCTCTCCACAGGCTTTGGATATCATGGAGGTGGCTCATGGAAAAGATCACCACTATGTAGCAGAGGTCAAACGGGAAATCGTGGAGCAGAAATAGAAGTTGAAAGTGTTGCTTTGGAACCTCTTTTAAAGCAACATATCCATCTTCAAAAGCATGGCATGCATCCTTCATTACCTCTGTTTTTACACCTTTTTTATGTCCCTACCTTACTTTGTGTGCAGAGTTCTTGCACATTCTGACTGGATTTTCAACTAGATTTGCTTTATTCAAAAAATCTATCAAAAAATAAAGTATTAATGTTTTCTTTAATATCATTGAGGCCTACAGCTGTGCGATTAAAAAAAAAGACAAAACAAAAAAAAAACACACCAGTGGGGGAAATATGTCATATTCCTGCCTTTGAAGCAGCCTTCTGCAGAACCTAAGCTTTCATCTGGTAGCTCCTTATTCTGAACTCACATTTGTGCTGTAGAGTCTAAAATAACTCAATGTTTTGTGGCTCCATCCCCAGACTGTTTAACCATCACGTTGGTGGTTTTTGCAGGATTTTAAGCTGCAATCTAACCCGATCTAAGCAGTAACTAAACTGGTGAATATTTGTAAAGGAGGTTATCACTCATCACAGCCCAAGCTTTAGGATTCTGCCTAATGTTTGCCAACAGAGCACAGTTTACCATCTCACTTGTTCTCTGTGAAACTGTGATCAAACACAAAGATTGACCATGCATCAGACACTCTGTAGCAACAGAGAGGAGCATGAAAAGGACTTGTGACTCGTCTCACAGCTTGATTTGGCTTGTTTTAAAGGAAGCAGAAGTCTGGCATGCCTAACTTGTTATGCATTTCTTTATCTTTATGTCTGTTTTTATCAAGTTAGTTGATAAAGTCTTCTTCATGTCTTCAAGAGGATTTTTACTTGTCAAGAATAAAAGCAAAGGAATGCACGGTCACCTGAAGCTGAGCTCAGAGGGCAGTGCGTGAGCCACTGCTATACCCTGATAGAAAATCAACGTAGCAAAATTAAAACTAAGAAAAAAAAATTATGTAATTAGTATTTAATCAGAAAAGATATACTTATTTCAACTGTTGCTATCATATATAAGTAAACATTGTTAATGATTTTATTCATAAGCTGGTTAGTTAGCTGTGCAATCTGCTACAGTAGCAAGCCTGCACTGCCTATCCTTTTGAGAAAGTCCAGCATCTAACGGTTATGAACACAATGAAGCAGCCACTGCATTGGGGGACCTTTTTTTTTCATTTTGAAGAAGATGACGCTCCAGACCAATCAGCCTCTTTGGTTCCCTTGATGTTCCTCTATATTTTATTGCTTTTTTTGCAAGTTTCCAGAAAACTCTTCAGATGCAAATCCTCGTTTGTCTGGGTGTGATGTTACCATGTGCTTACAATCATTTTCCGATGTATAAACTTTATGCTTTTTACTAACTTTGCACTACAGCTCATCAGAAAAATCATCTAAACAGTTCAACCTCTGAAAAAACATTAACTCAACAGAATAGATCCAAAACCATCAAGACGAGTCTTTTTTCCTGATAATGTTTAAGCGTGGAGCTGGTGTCAATTTGTGAAATTGTAGCTTTCGTTGTTTGGAGTTATCTGAATCTGTTTCGCCACTGATTGTCTTATTTTTGTGTTTCAGCTCTTAGCTTGACAAGGCAGCGTGCAATGAAAGCTTTAATGCAAAGATCACCTGGGCCTTATCTAAGGGTTCTCCTTGCACTCATGTTTTATACTCTCCGTGTGACTAAATGATGTCAAAAGGCAAACTTTAACACGTTTGACTTTGAAGAATCAACAAACCAATAGTTACGCTGTCAATGGGTTCTTATCATAAACCCGTAGCTTCTATCCTCTTGCTCACAATGCTCCACATTGTGGCCTAGTTTGTTGGAACCCTGTAACGCGTCTCCTGTGGTTTTTATTTGTAGCAACGTCTGCTTGTGACTTGGTCAACTGTATTTAAAAATGATGCATCCGGAAGGTGCCTACCTTACAGCAGCAGAAAATAGATTTCTGCAAGAAGAAAACATGCATAGAGGCTTTGCATAAGCCGAACACCATTTGGACCCTCTGTGCAGCATTAAGTCAGGATCTTTTTTTTCCTTTGGTGTTTAAAAAACTTGTTTTTTATGCTTTGAAATAATTTCTGCATGTTTACCAGACATTGGTTAACTGATATGTGTTTTACTTAAATATATTTGTTTCTGCAATAAAGTACTACGCATGAATCTTATTCTGTTGGAATGCACAAAACATCTGAGCCTGTTTATTTTTTCTGTATGTTTGAAATGGAAAATAAATAAAATACGAGATTTTTTGTTCTCTCTTCTTTATTAATTCAATTTCTTTAATTGAATCTGCTTTGCAATATTTAGTGTTCATAGTTCTTTGTTATCCATGGGTTTAATACAGTACCAAGCTACTTACAGCTATGGCTTTAAAACTGAAAATTGGAGTGACAGCAAAAGCCTAAAGTGTTATCTGGCATGCCAGCTTTGAAAAATGGCATATGCAAAGCAACACTGGCATATGCTTCTGCAGCTTGTTTTAAACCAAAGGACTGGAAAACACCTAACAAGAATTCATAAATATTTAAACAGTTATATTTTTGTAAATCCTTTTATCCCCTGAAAGGTTGGTTTGTGCCAAAGCACTAATCTGTGAAGGGATATAAAAACAATTATAGCACGGAATGCCCTAGAAAGTCCTGGACTCCATTATCTGAAAATGGAGAACCAAATTGAGGCTTGATTAGGGAGCGGACCCTAACACAATATTTCTTTGTGGACATCTATCCCTCAGATGATCATACTATTTCTTGTATATTTGATTGTTTGTGCATTGTTGCTAAAGACATTGCTCACTAAAACACACAACAGCCAATCTACATTTTGCAGAAAAACTGTTTTATGACCATCAGACCAGAATAAACTAAATCTTATGGTGTGATTAAAACCCAAAAAATGAAACTCTTAATAAAGCACTGCTCACATGTAGCCAACACCACCCCAACTGTAAAGCACAGCAGTGGCAGTATTATGCAGTGAGGATGTTTTTAGGGAGCAAGAGCTAGTTGGCTTGTCTACATAGAGATGAAAATAACAGCAGCCAAATTAGGAGATTTTTTTAAAGATGATTTGATCAACGGTGTTCTGCAATCTAGAACAAAGTGAAGATCCATCTTTGAACATGATAATCCAGAGGACTCAGCCAGGATTCTTAAAGTGGCTTAAGGAGCAGTCTGCAAATGCAATTATTGGGCCTGTTGCTCAGTAATCCAGTATTCTCTTTACAAATTAAAGCAGTTTGCATTTAATTTAGAAGCCAATGTGGGAGGAAGGGTGGAGAAGTACAGAATCCAGTACATAATACAGTTGGAAGTTTACTTAGTAATAATTTGGGGAAGGCCTACTTCTTTAAACATTTCTTTAGTTTTGAAGGTCTGTTTTTATTGTGATTTTATTCCCTTTTTATATTATTCTTTATTATTATTTTTTTCTGTTCTGTTGGTTTTTTGTACAATACTTTGAGTTTCTTCATTTGTGAAAGGCACAGGATAAATATTTTTATTTACTCACTAATTGTTTTTTTATGCAATGGTTCTCATCAAGTCTAAAGTCAGTGCCGCCATGGTCTGCTGGATTTTATGGGTCAAAAGCACCAATACCTGGTTTAATAATCATGGTATTAGTACTTTTCATTTGTCAGCAAATAAACCTTGATCTAAACCCCATAGATCATCTATTGCTTGTGCACAGGTATGTAGTACTGATGCAGGATGGGATGCAAAATAAGCCAAAACAAAATACTGATAGCCACTGTATATAACATGGACATGCATTTCAGTAGACTAATATTTCTGTATCAAAAGATACTGCTTACTTTGTTTTGTGTAATTTTCTAACTTTGACAAACTGTTTTCATAATCTGTGAGGGGTGTCTATGCAACTGAAATTATTAAATATAAGTGGTACATCTTGGATATATTACATTGAAATACAGAAACTTAATTTAATACTATTTTTCCCCTTTGTTCAGTCTATATCGTGTTTTTAATTTTGTCTGCCTACTATGTATGTTTTTTTAGCACTGTCTGCAATATTTTGTGCTGTTTTCATGATGACAGATTTTTGATTCATTATGGCATACTGAGACCACATGGGGGCACTGTGGAAACACAGAAACAAATAAGCCAATCAAGTGCGGGGTCAGAATTATGACGTCGTTTGATTGGACCAATAGCCGTGTAGCTAAGGGGATATCCGGTCCCTGGCTTACAGTTTGAATTTTGTAAAGAAGCCTAACGAGAAGCCTCGCGCCCAAAGTAAGTTGAGTAAAACGTAACATTTATGTAAAAATACATCGCGTTATTGTTATTTTTAATGCATCGGTCTTTATCGTTGCCGCTAATCTTCAGTCTCTAGACTGATCATAACCCAAATGAAAGTTTTATAGTATTTTATATTCTCAAAAGTCAGTTTAGTTTAATTTCAACTGAATCAACGCTACGTGCTCCTTACCTTTTAGTTTAGGTTTAATTATGTTTTCGTTTTTTAAAATGTGTGTTCGGCTGCCCAATATGTTTGTGTTAATTTGCAGGATCTGATAGTGCTATTATTGCCATAGTTGTACCGGCCGCCACATTATAAACAGATACTCATTACACACCTCCACTGTTGTCTTTCTGGATTTTTTATTTTTTTTTTTTTTGCAATTCTTACTGCTGTAATTTGAAAGTAATAAATGTATTTTGAAACTATACACCTTAAGGAAAGAAAATAGAAGTTCTAAAATAAGTTTTTAACCATTTGTCTGCATTATGAGATAGATATTGATGGATCACTTTCCTGAATGGGGATGCAAGTCCGCCACCTAGTGGTAGGACTCTGTACAACATGTTTATTAAATATCTTCCTTAAATAAATATCCTGTGGCAATCCTGTAAATGTGGATTATTTTATTAGTAAACTTGAATAACCATTAAGACCTGATATGATCTAGATCTACCAATGTTTTCAAAACTTTTTTTAATAGAATTTACTAAATTGTGCTTTAAAGTGGTTGGGTCTGATCTAGGACATGATACGGAAATTAACACCTCTGTTACTTGAATTTGTTTTATGAGAGATAGTGATAATTTATGGAATTTCATATCATAATCCAGCATTTTAAAAGAAACAATGACTGTGGCAATGTGCTGTAAAGGCCATTTTTTTGCCCAAAATGTAGTGGATATAAGGTAACTTAATGCAGCCTTCAAATAGGTTGAAGAAATTAGATGAAAGTTTAACGAAATGCTGCTTGTAGTTGTAGCCTGGGTTGTCCTCACTTTACAGGAAAGCTGTTTCTGCAAACGAGCGAAGCCTTTAGGTTTGGTTAATGTCACATAATGGCAGCTAGAGGAAAGACTTGGATGTATTAGGAGTTAAAGTTAATTGAAAATAGTTTCATCAGAGGTTCTAGTACAGATAAAAGCAATGCTGGCTTTTATTGGTTTGACTAGCTGCTTATCTAAGATTTTTTTTTTTCTTTTTTGATAGATTTGTAAATGATTTTTGTCTTCTGATTTGGTTGCAGGCCATGAGCTGGGCGGTGGAGGAGTGGAAGGATGGACTTCCAGGGAAAGCCCTGCAGAAGATCCAGGAGATGGAGGTCCAGCTGGACAAACTCAAAAAAGAAAGGACACAGAAGCAGTTTCAGCTGGACTCCCTGGAAGCTGCGCTGCAGAAACAGAAGCAGAAGGTCAGTGCCGCTTTAGGAGAGGCTTTGTTTCTTTCACATCTTCTATGTGTGCTCCTTTAAATGGATGACATCTTTAGAATTTATGCCACAATAATTTGATGTAAATAATCTAAAAGCTGCCCTCCTCAGGTGGACAGTGAACGCTCAGAGATATCTGCTTTGAAAAGGGAAAACCAGTCGTTGGTTGAATCGTGTGACTCTTTGGAAAAAAATCGTCAGAAGGTTGTTCACGAACTTGGTGTCAAAGAGCAGCAGGTCAGTTCCTGACATAGAACAAAACACAGTCTGTATGGAGGAAAGTTATAAACTACTTAATTTCACCTAATTTTTCTTATTTATTGTTTTATGTTGCTATGTCACATAAAATCTTAAGAAATGCATAGAAGTTTGAATGTTACAGGTTGAACATGTGTGTAACGCAACCTTTCTGGGAGGAAGGCAGTAATTTGAACTTTTTCCTGTAACTCTGATTTATTTCCTGCGCTCAGGTGAGCTACCTGGAGGGTCAGCTTAATTCCTGCAGGAAGACCATAGAGCGACTGGAGCAAGAACTCAAGAAGTGAGTTTGATTAAGCTTTTTGTCACCTTTGTTTTGTTTTGTTTTTTTGAGAGAGGAGATAGTGGTGTAGAATATAACCAACTGAAAATCAATGCATAAATGGAGTATATGCTTTACTTTTATTTATACTGCATATGGCTGCTGTCATTTATAACAGTTTGTAATTATGAGATTATTATCCCTATTTTTGTGGAATAACTGTTCAGGTACAAAAATGAGCTGGATCGCTCTCAGCCTGCTGGCTCCTCCTCGCTGTCGTCATCCTCCTCTGACCTGCAGGCGTACAGCACTCCACAGAAGAGCTTCGCAATACCAGCACCCGTCCCTGCACATAGACAGCAAGGTACCTGTGTGCAGGAGCTTAATATTCTACCGTGAGACCGAGTCTCACTAATGTGTATGAGTGTTTTTTTACAGACAACAAACTGGATGACCTACAGGATAAGTTAAACCGTGAAGTGGAAGAAAGAAAAAAGCTGGAGAGTGAGCTTAAAGTGCTGCAGATCAAGGTGAGTTTCCTCTGAGTGTCCCCTTTTTTATTTTTCTATTTTCTTTCAAAGTTATAACGTGTCTCTCCTCCTCCAGCTGTTGAATCAGTCTTCAGTCAGCGTCAGCCACAAAGACATTGCGGCACGTCAAGCCGGATCGTCTATATTCCCATGGCAACAGCAGGATCAGGTCCACTGCCTGCACGCTCAGGATAAGACGGAAACTCCGCTGAAGAGACGTGGGGCGTCTCTGTGGGACGCACACGAGGAGACGCCAATCAAACCCAGCCATAGGATGAGTCCCAGTGGACCCTCCCAACACATGGAGCAGATGAAAACTCTCAACCAAGGTGGATTCTTGGGAATCTAGCAGGTTAGATATGACCTTCATGACAAATTTGATTAAATGTTTATATGTCTTTCTTTATCAGAGCTCCGTGGACGTGTGTCAGAGCTGGAGAGGAATATATCGGCTCAGGAAAAGGAGATCCGTAACAATACGTCAAAGCTGCAAGAACTCCAAGCGCACCTAAACCAGGCTCGTAAAGACCTGGCTGAGCGGGGCAGAGACCTGGCCAAGGCCGGACATGAGCTGAGTCAAGCAGCTGACAAACACCAGCAGCTGGAGGCAAAGGTACCATGGATCATTTCCTGGATACGTTTCTCTGCATAGTCTCCCTGGTGCTGAAATGATGGAAGTCATGCAGATAAAAGTTGAAAATGATCTGTGCTCTCTTAGTGTTCATCGGTTGAGCAGAAGTTGAAACAAGTCTCAGAGGAGATGAGCTGCCAGAGGCACAACGCTGAAAGCTGCAGACGAGCTCTGGAGCAGAAGCTCAAAGACCAAGAAAGAAACAGCCAAAAGGTGAAGCAAAAGCTTGAGGATTCGAAAAGCAAAGTTAATTAATGAATCGTTATTCAAACAAGATTATATTTCATTGGTTTGTGCAGGAGTTGGCTCAGCTTCAGAGTTCCAATCAGGCTTTGGATTTGGAGCTCAACCAGACTAGAACCAAACTCACCCAGGAGATCCAACAGGCCAAAAAAGACCACAATGTGCTCCAAGCAGACATGGAGAAGGTATCTCAGAGTGGATGTGTTTAAATGAGCTACTTCCACTGTTTCCTATTGCTCAGTCAGCCTGGGGATTCCTGACAGTCTTGTCTATTTTGCTAACTTACTTAATTTTAGATGCGCATACAGAAGAGTCAGATGGAGAGAGAGCTAGAAGAACAGAAGCAGAAGCTGCTGCGCTCAGAACAAAGCCTGCAGGCCGCTCAGACCAAGGAGCAAGACCTCCGCAAAAAGATGGAGGTAGGTTTGAATTCCTTGTTTGTTGCTCTGCTTGTGTCTGTATTATGCTGTAGTTTACAGATTTTAGATGCTTCCGCTTCCCTTCAGGAGCTACAAAAAGAGAAGAACTGTGTGACTGTCCAGTTGGACCGGAGCACCAGGTCCGTTTCTCAGTTGGAAGAAGAGAAGAGGAGCTCGGAGCAGAAACTCAGAAGCACCCAGGGGCTGCTGGAGGATCTGAAAGGTGCCAGTTTGTTATCAGCAGGAACAACACATCTGTTTCTGATGCTGGTGTCTTTGTATAAGTTAACTGTTTCTTTCTTGTACTTCAGCCAAATCCGAAGGACAGGAGGTGGAGCTGAAGAGGCTTCAGTCAAAGCTGGAGCAGCAGGCTCAGACGTCAGCAAGGGAGCTGGAAAACATGAAGAGAACAATTTCTGATGTGGAGTCCAGAAATGAAAAGTAAACCTGGTTTTAGTTCTCAGAAGCTGCATTGTTTTCTTATTGGTTGGTTAAGAGGGCGGGTCTTAAAGAATTCACCAAAATCACCCAATATACCTTTAATTATACCTGTTAGCTATGTTCCACTACATTAGTGGCTCATCTCCTCCATCTTTAATCTCTTTGCTGAAGTACCAGTGCAAACCTACCAGCACTCACCCCTCTGTGCTGTTAAAGGGCTGAATGTTTATCTACTTATTACAGATTGGATCATTTAGCTCCTTGATGTTTTGCATTGTTTCTAAAACTCTTGGCTCCTAAGGATCAAATTTCATTTATTTCATTGTTACAAATCTGTTGCTCTGCAGATGTCAGAATGAGCTCCAGAAGCAGCGGCAGGAGAGCGAGAGGCTTAGCAATAAGCTGAACGGTGTGGAGAAGGAGAGCCAAGAGCTGAAGAGCAGCCTCACTGGAAGCCAGGATGAGTGTAAGGCTTTAAAACAAGAACATCAGGCTCTGCTGGACTGGAAGAAGGACAAAGAGGACTTGATAAACCAAACTGAGGCTGTGCAGAAGGAGCTCACTGATAAGATCCTTACTTTGGAAGGCAACTTGAATCTGATGAACGAGGCCAATCGTGAAAATCAGGTAAGTGTAGTGGCTATACAATGTTTTTTTTGTTTTTTTTTCTGTCTCTGTAAAGAGAAAACCAGCTTTGTCCTTGATTTTTATCTACTATTTTTTTTTTCTTTTTGAACCATTGTAGAGCAAGATCTCCTCCATAGAGGCAGACAAAGCTGGTCTGTCAGCCCACATCGACTCACTGAAAGGACAGCTCCTCATCAAGAGCACAGAGTTGGAGGAGAAGGACCACCAGTACCAGCAGCTTCAGCTTCAGGTTACCGAGGCAGAGCAGAAACACAGCAAAGACCTGGAGAATGTTGGGAAGCAGCTCGCTCAGCTGGAAGGACAGGTGATTTAACACCTACACGCCTTCGATGAACACAAATATATCCCCTTATTTTAGAAGTAAGCGAGATGGGATTCTTCTTTGATCCTGTTGATTCCTTTTTTATCTGTAAAACAGCTCAATGAACTGAAGTCCCAGTTGCAGAGGGAAACCATTCGAGCTGAGCTTGCTGAGAAGACGATCTCTGAGCTTCAGGAGGAGCAGCAGGCAGCATGTGACCTGCTTCACTCCAAAGATCAGCTGGTGGAGCTGGGCCTGGCTGAGATCAGTCAGCTGAAGGAAAGCCTTGCTCAGTCCACTGCACAGCAGGAGAAGCAAAATGCCAGGTTGGAGCTTTGAATTTGTCATTTTTTAGTTTTTACAGGTTGTAGTTGCAGCTCACTGTGTTTACATCCTAATTATAGAAAAATTGCTTCCTTGATAAGGTAGACGCAGGGTTTAAAGTAAAAAAAAAAAAAAAAAAAAATCACTCCAAAATAAATTGCAGGTAGATGAATAAAAAAAGAATCGAAATCCCCCTTGCGTTTGTCAGCCAATGGTAGCAAAGGAGCTTTCTGAAACTCACACTTTATCACAACTCTTTCTTCCAGCTTTGTGGAGGAGAAGGCCGCCCTCCTGAGGCAGTGTGAGGACAGCGTTTCTGCAAAGGCTGAGGAGACAGAACGCATCAAGCTGCAGATGGAGGAAGTCCAGCAGGAGCTGCTGCTTTCCAGAAACAAGGTCTTTTTGTTTTTTTGGGATTTATTTTTAATCACAATTAAAGTTAACCATTCATTCCTCTAAACAGAAATTACTTTGCTGTTTTTTAAAATGGTGCTGTCTGCTTTAGGTCATTAATACATTATTGGGGCACCAGCTGCAAAGTTGTTGGTTATACACAACTACATAAACAGAATAAATGAAATGTTGGTTCTTCTATAATGACAGGAAATTCTCCTTTAGTAAATATTTATCCAGAAGTGCAGTCGACCTGTTTTTAAATGGTGATGTAACAATTGCAAGGTGAGTTTTTTTTCTGTTTTTTGTGGAGTGAGAAAAATATGCCTCTTTAGATGGTAGAGGTTGCACACCGTTCACCTAGACCAGAGTTCGGCAACCCAAACTGCTCAAAGAGCCATATTGAACCAAAAAAAAAATCTGTCTGGAGCCACAAAAATGTAAAAGTCTTAAATATGCCTCATATGGCAACACGGGCTCTAAGTGTGTTATCCCACTATAGAAAAGGACTATGTGGGCTTAAATGTATAATAAGCATTCATGAATCTATTTTTATCCTGTAGCAAATGTCACATAGTAGCTTGAGGTGATGGACGAGCAGTGAACACTCCCATTGCGTGCCGCTTCACCGCCCTTAACCGTGCGGTCTAGGTTTTGTTGCATTGATGAAATGATAGAAACACAATAAAGGAATCTCTCTATGGTGGACGTGTTTCTGTTGGGAGCAGCCGTATTGGATATGCAATTCACTTCCTAAATCTATCTTTGCACTCCTAATTTATCCAGAAGTTCTATGTCATTCCGGATTCATAGAACCGTAGTTACGGTAGTAACTTTCGTTTTGCAATCACACTTTTTATCTCGGTCCCAACTTGGTAGTCGGCTGCATATATAGCATGCCTCCCCTGGAAATGCCTTTCCAAATTTTTATTTTTATTTTTTTGACAACCTCGCATTGCAAAGCAAAAATGCAGGCAATCATTCCGCATTGATAATGGAAGCAAATGATTCGCTCCATTCTTTGAATCCTCTTTCTCATTAGCCATCTTCCTTTTCTTCCCTTTTGGAATCCATGGTGCGAGACACACCCGCAACTTTGTTTGTCTGGCACTGCGCCACGCTGGTTGCAAGCTATGACTACTGATCTCTGTGGCCCCGTCCACAAGAAGCCGAACCCTGGCCTAAACGCACACATTTTTCACCAAACCAGCCTCTCATCCATACGAAGCCGGCGTTTCGGGGTCTGTAAATGATTTTTTTTTTTATTAAGCCTTCAGATTTTGAAACGCCGTTTTCGCGTTTCCATCTTTACGCTCTAACCGCATTTTTTTTTTTTACACGCATGCGTCATAGTGTCTCCTCTAAACACGCATGCGCGACACAGTATCACAACAACAATGGCGCCGTAGTGTGTTGAATGGTTGCTGCTCATGCTACTCAACCGGCTGTCGGGCATACAACAGAATCTTCTTCTTCTGGAATATCTCCAGGAAGAACAGAGCAATTTCGACGACATAGTTCAGCACCTGAATTTGACTGAACCACGAAAATGGACCCGCAGGGCAACCATGTATAAATATTAGTGCGCATGCCCAACATTTCGTTGCCTGTTTTCGCCTATTTTTGCTTTGGCACCACAGCGCCACTTACAGGCCTGGCATACATTTTGCAGCGTTTTCATGCATTTGTGTGGACGATCATATTTATTTTACGTCTCCGTCTTTACGACAAACGTTCTGGAAAATATTAGCGTTTCGTGTTCGTTTTGACTTCGTGTGGACGGGGCTTATGGCTATAATGCAAATTATTGTTTACATTTATTTATTATACAAATGTTTACAGCACTGGAGACATAATTAATTATTGTTTAACCTCCTGCACACCACAAACAAAAACAACAATCGATTTTCTTTGAAAAAGCTCCAGGGAACCGCAAGGGGGCGCTAAAGAGCCGCATGTGGCTCCGGAGCCGCAAATGGCCGACCCCTGACCTAGACTAAAGTCTAAACCAGAAATACTATTGTGAAAAAGATGGAAAAGCAAAACATTAATTTCATGTATTTATTTTTGCATAGAAAAATCAACTTTCTTTAGTCCTTTTGCTGCAGTTTTCAAACTGATCTTTGCAGCTCCATCATTGGTCTGATTAATATTTTCTGTGGATGCCTCTAGTTTTGGTGGAAGCTGCACTTTTCTGTTTTTTAATTGTTGAGAATATATCAGATATATTGTAGTACACCGTTGTGTACTAAAAGGCTGAAGGGATTCATGGTAGTTAGATAAAACGGCTACTTTCAAACATAAAGGTTAAAACCAGTTGGGTTTTTCTGTCTGTCTCTAAGATCACTTCCATAGAGCAGATGCTGAAGGTGCAGGAACAGCTGGGGGCCGAGCTGCAGAAACAAATCAACACAATGTCCAATAAGGAGGAGGAGCTCATGAAGATGTCCGAGGAGAAATCGGAGCAGCTCAGACAGTCAGAGGAGCAGCTTAAAGAGCAGAGGAGCCTGAAAGAGGAGACGGAGAAGCAGCTCAGAGAGAGTGAAGCTCGGATCGTCTCCATGGAAGCAGAAAAGTCTGAGCTCAACAGTCAGATTGAAGAGATACAGAAAAAAGTGGAGGTAAAATATACAACATAATCTTTTTCTTTTTTTCTTTTTTATGGGTGTCTTAACTATTTTCTTTTGTATGTTTTACTTTTTTGTGAAAATGCTATTTTTTTTTTTTCTTGTCTATATCCTAAATTTTTAAAACTTCCCTTTTTTGTGCAGTTCCTGCAGCACAGTCAGGCAGAAAAGATAAATACTCTCCTGGAGCAGATCTCTGCTTCGGAGAAACGGGCAGCTGCAAACCAAGAAGCAGCAGACGAGGTTCCAGTTTTAAAGAACAAACTGGACATGGTCAATCAGTCCCTTGCTCACCTCAACAGATCTACTGAAGCTTTAGAAGAGAACCTCTGCTCTGCAAACGAAAAGAAGGCCGATCTGGAGGCCGCCCTGTCTGAAAAAACAAAACTCGTCTCTGCTTTGGAGGATCAAATCAAAAATCTGACTGAGAAGATGCTGAAAGAGACGGAGAGCCACAGCGCCAAGATTGAAGACCTGATCAACAGGGAGAGAATCCTAAAAGAGCAGCTGGAGGGTACCAAAAATTCCCTAGCAGCAGCCACAGCCGAGTCCAGCTCTCATCAGGAGGAGATCCAAACCATGAATACTACTCTATCTACCGCATTGCGCGGTTTGGAAGAGAAAGACAACTCAATAAAGAGTCTAAAAGAGAAACTGAACAGAGCAGAGGCTGAGCACAGCAAAGCCTTTGAACTTCTGAAGGAGAAGTCTGTGGCCATGAACAAAATTAAGGTTGGTAGTTAATAAAACGTCTGGAAAGGATGCTTCTCATTTCTGTCTTTATTTGAAATTGTGGTGCAGAATTCGGTGTCTTAACTTGTCTAAATAATGAAAAGTGTATTTATGTACAGTCATTTTTAAATTACACATTTACTGACTAAAGGTGCAGCTGGAAATGCTGCAGATGGACCTGGAGGACAACGAGACTGCCATGAACTCTGTGGAGAGTCAGGTGGAGGAGCTGAAGGGCACTAAAGCATCGCTGGAGGCCCAGATCTCTGACATGGAGGCCATGCTACAGGAAAGCAAAGCTCAGGTTGGTCTACTGATTTTAATTAAGCAGCTGTTTAGTTCGGGACATCATAAAAGTTCATCCCAACGAATGAGGTTTATTATGGAATGGTAGATTCATGTTTAAGGTCCTTCAATGGAGCAGCAAAAGTTTTTTTTTTTTTTTTACTGAAAGTAAACCAGGTTTTTTGTTCCTTCAACGCTAATAGATTTAGGATTGATTTTTTTAATATGTTCATAAAATGATGTTTTTGCCTCATACCCTCTGTTTACCTCCCAAATAAATAAAGCTTATCTATTTTCAACTAGTTTTCTTCCACCCAACTTTCCTTTAAGATTGTCAGCAGTTCTTTTGATTCTGTAAAACAACCTTTCTCAATAACCATGTAGATGCATCTATGTGAATGAGATTCAGCTTTAAGGAATACTGAATTTGGTTGCATTTTCGATCGTACTCTCTTATTTATTTTAGATTATCTGTTTTGCTGTGCTGCGTTTTCAGGTGTCTGTTTTAGAAAGCCGTTTAGATGAGGTCCAATCCCAGAACTCTATGCTGGAGACCAAATATGTGACAGCCAAGGAGGAGCTGCTGGAGAGGAGCTGTGAGATAACGCGCCTGGAGGAGGACGCCGTGAAACGGCAGCAGCTAGAGGAGAACGTTGCCTCTTTAGAATCCAAACTGAGTCTGGTTACTGAAGAAAATACAAAGTTAGAGGAAACACTGCAGCAGATCATCCAGGAAAAAGAGAGCAGCCTGAATCGGCTAAGTGAGGAGAAAAGCAGCCTTGAGGTTTCTTTGAGGCAGTTACTGGATGAGCAGAAACAAACTGCTACTGAAATAACCCAGGTTAAAGCTGAGAAGGAGGAGCTGCAGGAGAGGGTGAACAGCCTGTCAGAGGAGATCCAGCGACTCCACACTACTGTCGGAGAGTTATCTGAGCAAAAACAGGAGGCGGAGGCAGAGATTGATCGGATTGCTGCAGAGAGACGTGAGACTGAGTCTGCCTTCAGTCTGGCCACTGAGGAGAAAGCCCTGCTAAATGTTACTGTGGGTTTATTGAACAGTGAAAAGGCTGAGCTTCAGGAGAAGCTTTTTACATTAACCTCTGAGAAAGGGGACTTGGTCAGCACCATGAAACAGATGGAAGAAGAGAAGGATCAGCTGGAATCCAACTACAGTCGAGTCTCTGAGGAAAACGTCCAGCTGCTGTCAGAGATGGCCCAGCTGTCTGAGGAGAAGCAGCAGCTTCAAACCAGTGCTGAGAGGATGAAAGAAGAGCTGGCTTCTTTTAGAGAGGAGAGCAAGCGTGTGCAGTCCTCCCTGCTATGCTCAGAGGAGGAGCGACAGAAACTGAAGGAGCAGCTCTACGTGAGGGAGGAGATTATCAACCAGGAGAACAAAGAGCGGTATGTCTCTTAAATTTGGTGGTTTTCCATGAGCCATTAGAGTCAGAGAAGCACTGATCTACCTAATACCATTTCTTTTGTTTTTTATATATTTTTTTCACCTACTAGCTCCTGTTTTGACGAATTTTGTTTTGATTTCATTCCAAGGAATATGGGGTGTAAAAGAGTTCAAATTTTGCAGAGGTTTATAATCTGACAAACTTTTATGCAATTGAATGATTGTCCACATTTCTGGTTCATAACAGGAACATTAAGGCGATTCTTTACTTTTATCAGTTTAATAGATAAAAAAACATTTAAGTGTTTAACCTATTTAACCTGATCAATAATAAGAATCTGATTTTATCACAGGAGCCAGCAGTTTGAGACTGAGCAGGCGGAACTTCATCAGAGGCTCTCAAGCCTCCAGGCGGAGCTGACCGTACTCCAGCAGAACTATTCCTTACTGCTTGAAGAAACGGACCAACAGCACCGCCGCATACAGCAGCTTACAGAATCGAGGAAATGCCAGAATCCAGCAGAAAACCTCACCCATATTGGACCCAATGACCAGGAAGAAATGGGTGCGTATTGACTGCCTCATTAAAACCTGAACTGTGCGTCTTCAGTCCTGACCATTTGCTGTGGTCTGTCTAGTGGACGGAGCTGTATGTGTCGAACCAAACCTAGAACTGGACCCAAACATCATTACCAGCACAGAGTCCAATCCTCAGAGCGAGCCGAGCTCGGATCAGGCTTTCAGGTACAGTTTAGACACATGACTGCCAATCAAATGTTTTGTTTTTTTGCTAGTAGGTAGAAGATAATCTCTCTTTTCTCTGACAGTGAGAAAGAAATGATGAGGAAGGAGGAGGCCTCTGATCAGGAGGTGCTCAGAGATGAGTTGGAAGAGGAGGCATGTAAACCTGATATACAGAAAAAGCAACTTCACAGATTCAAATAAATATTAGAACTTTTTCATAATGGTGAGTCTTTGTTTTAATGTCGTCATCAAAGGTCTCTGGGGAGAACAGCGGTGCTGGTGAAGTTCTGGGAAGTGAGAATCTAAACTGTGATCCATCTTTCCCAAAATCCTTGAAATTCTTTGGTGAGTATCTAAAGTTAACGCCATGGTTTTGTTTTCTCTTTTGACTCTTGATTATCCCTAAAAACTGTTTCTTTTGTCCTTTCTAAAGTGTTCACACTTCAACCTTTATTTTCGTTTATGATGTAATGGAAAAACAAAAGAAGCGGAAAGAACACTTCCAAATAAAACCTTTTGCGTTTAGAAGTCACTGTATTTAAACCCTAATCTTTCCTTCAGGACTCAAGTCTTCACCAGTCAGAGATGGCATCAGCTCTAACACAGAAATTGGGAGTGAAGTGGAGTTGCTGCGCTCTGAGTTGGACCTGCTGACCTCGGAGCTTCAGCTGAGGGCAGAGCTGAGCTCAGAATTGAAAGTTCAAATTCACAACCTGGAGATGAAGGTTCATGCTGCAGAGGAGCAAGCTCAGGATGCAGCTAAACAGCTGAGCATTGCCCAAGAGGAAAAGAAGAGCCTTTCTAATGAGGTAGAAGGAAGAAATTGTTTTATTCTTTCATCCGAATCATAATTTTAGGATCCTAAAGACTTTTTCTGGTCTTTTGTTCAGGTGGCCCACCTGCTGGAGGAGAGGGAGGCTTTGACTCTGCAGCTGCAAACGTCAAAATGCCAACTGACTGATGTTATGGAGATGTTGGAAGGGCTTGAGATGGCCAAAGGTTTTTTTTCTTTTCTCATGTTTCTGATAATACTTTAGGGTATTTGATCATTCATTTATAGCATTGAAGAGATGTTTGCTGTGGTTCTGTAGGTGGATGGGATGAAAAGTTCCTTCAGCAGGCGAATGAGTTAAAGAGGGTCCGCTCTGAAAAGGCTAACCTGGAGAAGCATATCCTGGGAATGGAGTCTGAACTGGAGACCATGCAGGCAGAAAGGGACAGGCTGAAGGAGGCGATGGAGACCCAGAGGAAGACTTGTTCAGGATTGAAGCAACAGGTGGAAACACTCCATGTAGAGGTCAGCATTTTACTGCAATGGATCTGAGCTCCTTTCAGGGCTGGAAAACATAAAAATTCCAGGGTTTATTCCTAATTTATTCCCAGATTCACTGTAACCTATCATTTGAAGCTGGAAAATTGCCAAACAGGAAAAGTGATAGGACTGCAAAAGAATGGAAACAAACACATCTTCAGTAATTACAGGCCTGCCTCTCTGCTGCCTCAGTTGTCCAAAATTTTAGAAAAACTTTTCAACCATAGATTAGATTTATTGAGAAACATATTATAACTAGAAAAGACTTACACCTATAACAAAAAATCGTACATGATCTTGATAATGTCCAATTTTAATGAATTGTTTCTTGACATGAGGTCCATCTTTGGTAACAATTTCCTTAAAATCCTTTCACAAGTTTATAAATAAGGCCCAGCGTGTTCTGCTCTCACCTTCGTTTACTCAGTTCTCTTGTTCGATCAGCAGGTTTAGAGACTTCAAGTGAGGCACGGCTCACCTTTCCTGTATTTTTGACTTCAGTGTAATACCAATTGAATAATTCTGCACTTTTTTGAGTCCGAGTTTTAATAGTCACTGCTGCTACTCTGTGGTTTAGGGGGGATCTGCATGTTCCTCCAAATAATGTTAATGAATCCTTCCTGTATCCTGTTTATGATGTGGATCATCACCAACATTTAATAGACTGTTCCTTGGACTGAGTTACACCTTTGGTAGAGATTTCATCAAAATCTGTTCATACGTTTTAAGTTATCCTGTACACAGACGGACAGACAAACAAACTCAAGTAAAAACATAACCTTCTTAGTGGAGGGCCAACTATATGTGAAGATGGGTAAGTTTGAATCGCGATGCTAGGGTTTTTCCTGTGGGGTTTCGCAGGGATCTATATTGGGCCCAAAGCGGTTTAATTTATACATTTAAATATTTTATGTATCAAAGTTATGTGTTTTTAGCAATAGTCTCATTGAAATTATACATATTATTAAAGAAGTACTTAAAATGGATGAATACTAACAGACTATCCCTTCATCTAGATAAAACTACAATATTATTCTTTGGTAAACAGAAGAATTAGACCAAGTAATATATATTGATAGTGTTGTGATAGTCTGTGTCAGATATTAAGTTCTTATGGCTAACTATTGACGACAGTAAGCTGGAAACTTCACATTAAAGTTTAAATATTTTTTAGTATATAATATACTGAACTTATTGCATTTTCGCATTAGTTGTGCCTTAATTTACTTTATTAAAATTTGGGACAATAACTACAAAAGTCCATTACAGCCCCATGTTATGTTTTAGAAACGTGCAGTAAAAGTTATACATAAAGTACAGTCTATTCTGCATTCTAAAGTGTTAACATTTCTTGATCTAGTTTATTTGTATACTGCACAGCTATTCTATAAAGCCAGTAAAAAATACATTACTCTCTAATATTCAAACACTTTTTACACAAAGTGAATGGAGTTATAATCTAAGGGGCTGCGCTGTGTTGTGATTTTAAATTATATTAAATTCCCAGCCAGCTGGGACTTTAAGATGTCCATTGCCCTCCCCGGTAGGGATGGTAAACATTGTATTTAATCGGATATTATTCCGGCTGTTATATATTGTTTATGAGCACATGCCCTACTAGCTGTTTGCTAGAACAATAAACAAAATTGTGATTCGAGCTCAAATGTGGTCAAACGGATAATTCTGCACAAACATGGAATAAATTTACAACTTCTGTTCAAAATGTAAGAGTTTATTAACAAAAACTAAACTACTATGTACAAAGAATAAGGGGAAAAATGGTTGAAAAACCTATTATAGTTTAAGATGGCGCTTGTGTTTGAAAACCAAAATTTATCTAGAAGAATTTGGGATATGATCAAATTAGCTTTTCACGAATTTAAAGAAACTGGAATGCTTTCAGACCAATTTACAATGCAATCCATGAGGTGAATAGAACATTATTTGGCCAAATAATGTTTTATTAAATTATTTACTTAATCAGGAACCAGTAACCTTTGGTTAAATGATTCTTTACCCTTATCATAAAACACATGAAATGATCAAAATCATCAAAAGACATATTGTCTGTTCTGTCCCCCAATTGTTCCAGACCTGCAAGCCTTTTTGTCTTTTTTGAAGGCTTGAGTTTTCATCCAGGAGGATGTTAGTAGGCAGGCTAAAAGCAAGGCAGGCTTTATTGTCCATGCGGCTCACACCAGGGGATACTTAGGAGGCCTTCTCGTCAAGTCTGGCTCTGTATGTTCTGAAACTCAAGAGAAATGATGTTTGTTGTTGATCTAAGTGTTCTGTATCAAACATTATTCAGGATGTAATGGAAGCAAACCCATGACTATTATGGACTGAATGGGGGTGGGAGTAAAACATGTTCCTTATCCCACTCCTTTTTAAGCTACTTAATTTTTTGTATCTGAGTTTATTTATTCATTTTCAAGCTGCACTGTACAGTGCATATATACATTTAGACAACTTGAGTTATCAGTTTTTTTTCATACATTTTTTTTTATAATTTGTACCGTTTTCTAACGTCCGTATCAGACATCTGTCCAACATCCATTCAATTTTGCCATCTTTCATCTAGTCGTCTATTTATCACTTACAGCACTATTCATTTACTATCCCATCATCCATTTTCTTGTACATACGATATAATTTTATTTTTTTGGGGGCATTTCTGTCAATCTTTCATCCATCTGACATTTTACCCCCTTCAGGTATCGGCCATAAATTCAGGTTCTTTGTGTTAATTCAAAGGGGACTTTGAAATTAGATTGACATTTTTGACATAAAATTGTGCATATGTAATTCTTGTGTTGATTGTGACCATCACGATTATGTCATTTTCCCATGCTTCCCCCCCCCAGACGACCCAGCTGAGGGCTGAACTTGTGTCCTGCACCGAAGACAAAGAAGAGTTAAATCAGTCTTTAGCACAGTGGAGAGATAAAGTTCACAGTTTGGAGAAGACCAACTGTGACACCAGAAATTTAATTTCCATCCTGGAGGTTGACATCCGGACGGGAAGGAAAGAGTATGAAGCTCTTCAAAGCAGCATGAAGGGAGTGGAGGCAGAGAGAGAGCAGGTACTAAATACTTTAAGGAATTCAGAGGTTTGTTAACATTATTATTTGTGGAGTTCATGAGTTGAACAATCTAACAAGATTTTGAAAAATGTAGATAAATTGTTTCTATTTTCAGTCTTTTGCTGGTAAAAGCTGATCCTTTACCCTTTCACAAAGCTTTTGCAGCAGGTTTCAGCCCTGGAAGAAGTCATTTCTAAAGAGATCGGCGAGAAAGAGGAGCTGCTCAACCGTCTCAGTGAGATGAGAGAAGATCATACCTCTACCAACCAAAACACTGAGTCCATGGCTGGAAAAATCCAGGTCAGGGAGAAGTTGGATCACTGAGGAGAAAACTAGAAGCTTATATCTTCAGGTCTGACATTTTACTGCTTTTCTCTAGGCTTTAGAGAGGGAAGTCTGCAGCCTTTCCCAATCGCTGGAGTCTTCTTTGCTAGAAAAAGGAGAGATTGCCTCTCGGTTGAATTCCACTAATGACGAGGTCCAACAGATGAGGACGGGCATCGAAAAGCTCCAGGTCCGCATCGAGTCGGATGAGAGGAAGAAAAAGAAGATGGGAGAGTTACTCAAAGGTACCAATTAGAAAAATCAAGAACACAGATCAGCTGCCTTGTAAGCTGTTGGTCTAAACGTGTCTTTGTTTCTCTATAGCTGCTCAGATCAAGTCTGACTCACTGCAGGATCGCATTGATGCTCTGGAGCGAGAGAAGGACGAACTGGAGCAAAATCTAGAGGACGCTGTGCTGCAGGTTAAGAAAACTTCCTGGTTAAGCAAACATGCCTGATTATTTACTTTTTTTTCACATATTTTATTACAGAAATGGACTTCAAGATATTTTATTTGTAATTTGTGATTGGCCAACACAGCAGTGTGCATTGTTCACTAGTGTTCAGAGACCTCCAAGTTAATGTTTACATCTATTCAAGGAGAAACGGAGAAATTATGAGTTGAACCATTGGAGATCTCTGATCTTTCAACAGGACTGGTAAAAGCTATCAAACCAGGTGTCTCATTTATGAAGCTTATACATGCGCAAAACAGGCCCTGAAACTTGCCGCCAGCTACACAATTGTGATCAATATCACAATGGAAAAAGAACATCAGAGTAAAAGCCGGACAGATATTTAAACTTTTCCTCACCTTGACATTTCTCTCCCGGTGATCATCTGGATCGACTCTCCTAACTGACTCTCTGCCTAAAGCCACTTTTTAGGAATAAAATAACAGAATTTATCCATAAATCTGGTATATCACAGTTATAAGCCCAATGCTGTCAGACTCTGAAGGCTTCATTAATAACACTTCCTTCCATTTACTGCTGCTACCTACCACTCATATTTATCAGGATCTCCTCCTTATTGATCAACACATGTATTTATTTTTTTGAGTTTTTACAGTACTAGTGGCTTGTTTTTATGGACAGTAGGCTGACAGGAAAGGGGGCATGAGAGAGGGGTAGAGACACGCAGGAAAGGACCACAGCTCAAGGCCTCCATCCATGAGCCATGCGAGCCAACCACTGCGCCACCAAAGCACGCCCAACACATTTATTTTTAATACTGCTTACTTTCTACTGCTGTAAAGCTGTGCTCTGAACATGAGGTGGAGCCTCACTCTCAAACGTGGAGCACAGCTGTGATCCATTTAAACAAATTGCTTGATTTTGTGTGATTTTATAAAACAAGGTTTTATTTTTTTTGCCATACTCCATGTTTCAATGTTTGGTGTACAGAGTGGATCCTACACAATGTCTTATAAATGAGGCCTGAGATGTGTTCTCAAAGCCTACTTGTTGCGATGATAGAAAGATAAACGAAGGAGAAATTTTACAAATTAAAATCTGAGAAATTACTATTACTAATATTAGGGCCCCTTTAATCTGAGTACCATAAATAAACCTACCTCAGAAGTCAAATAATGAGTAAGTATTAACTGTGCTTGGTTAAAGCTTGTTAGAAATGCAGTTGTTTTATAAAAGCCTTACAGGTTTTTGAACGGCATGAAGGAGCAAACTGCTTTATGATGGATTCAGATTAACCCACAGGTCAGGAAGGAAATTTTTTCAAGCAGGGTCGGTCTATAAATCAGCTTTCAAGGTTGTTCAGCTCTAAACACTTCTCATTTCATCACGTGGGAGTGAAAGACCTCAGCACAGCATCAAACTTACCGATAAACGATCACATTAATCAGAGAAGCAACCAATGTCTGAGGTGGAACACTCTAAATGCGGTACTTCTCCTAGTTTTTCAGACTGGTTGTGACAGAACAGTGTGCATAAGTTAGTGTGGAAAGGCTTTATCAAGACATGGATTAAAGTATTCTTCATCTCCTTTCACACAGGCTGAAACGGCAAAAGCTGAGCTAGAAGAAGAGAAGAGAAAGGTACCCTCACACAAGGGAGGAAATGCAGTTTTATTGGGGTTCTAGGCTTTTTCCTCATTAAAACCTGTCCTGCTTTTTGTTTAACCCCATCGTTCTAGGTGGAGGAAGAGAAGGAGGAGCTCACTGAGAAGCTATCTGAGCTCTGTGCTACGCTGGAATCCCTGAGATCTGAGAAAGCTCTTTTAGAGATGGAGCTGGACAATAAGAACATGGAGATAGAGGAGCTGAAGGCAGCTAGGGACAAACTGGAGAGGGGACTGGAGAAGGCAGAGATGGATAGAAGAGAGGAACAGGAAAGGCAGAAATACAGACTGAAAGAGATGGAAAAATTAACAAGAGAGGAGGCTGAGAGACAAAGTGTGCAAGTAGGAGACCTTCAGGGTAAGCTGGAAGCTTCTCTGCAGAGAGAGACCACCCTCGAACAAAAGTTTGCAGACTCTGTACGGGAAAAGGAGAAGATGCAGTCAGCGATGATAGAGTTGGAGAAAGAGAAACAAAGTCTGCTGACCTCTCAAGATTTGCAGACAGAGATGGAAAGGGAAAACACTAACCTGAAGGCAAATGTAGAGTCTTTAGGTGAAGAAATCAAGGATCTTCAAACACTTTTACAGGCTAAAGAGGAAGAAATCCATACTTTGGAGAAGGAGAAAGGCCTTGAGGCAGAGCAGAGGCAAGCTTTAGATGAAACCATATCATCAGTCAGGGCAGAGAAGCGACAACTGGAGGAAAGAAGGGACCAACTAGAACAGGAGAGGGATGAACTTCAGTCCACTCTGGTGTCTGTTCTTCAGGAGAAAGGAAGACTAGACCAGGAGAGAACAGAGCTGGATGAAGAGAGAGTACAGCTTCGGTCAAAGGTCTCATCTATAGAAAAGGAGAAACAAGACCTCCAACAAACCCTCTCCTCATTAGAGCAGGGCAAGCTGAGGTTAGAGGCTGCAACACAACAATTACAGTCCTCCCTGATGATGATAGAGCAAGAGAAGAGCAACCTATCCTCAGCTCTATCTCACCTGGAGGAGGAGAAGGCGCAGGAGAGTGGGGACAGAGAGAGAATCATACAAGAACGTCAGACTCTGCAGCAAAAAGTTGCTTCCATGGAGAAAGAGTTGGAGACGTGCCAGCAGTCCATCTCACAGCTCAGTGAGCAGGTATGAAGGAGTATCGATCCGAAACGGGTCCTGTCTGTTTCACATAGACAATGTGTGCGTTTGTTCACAATACATGGTACTTTATATTCATCAATCTCACCTCCATTATTCCAGGTCTCTGAGTTGACGTCCAGCACTGCTCGTCTGTCTAAAGAGAGAGACTCTGCTCTGAGCAAAATCAACCTCTGGATGAAGACCTGCAGGCAGCTGGAGCAGGAGAAACTCAACCTCGTGAACAGCTCAGGTATGAACACATCTATCTTTTCACTGTAAACAAGGGGCATCTTAGTAAATCAGGTGGACTTTAAAATTCAGGGTTATTAGAAAATTAGAAAGTAGAGTTTATACACTACAGATTTAGTACACACACTGTTAATGTTAGCATTTCCGTTTCTTAGCAAGTCTGGAGTATTGGACAAGATGAAAATGCCTTAACACTATAACTTTTGCATGGATTTCCTGTAACAATGCGGTGTAGCATGGAGACCCGCGGGTTAACTCTAGAACAGGGGTAACCAATTAAAAATCAGCAGAGTCCGAATAAAGAAAATCATCAACCAGTAAAGGTCCGGACATTTTTAATGACCTGTTACTTTAAACAGAATTTAACACTGAAGTAAAATGAGGTGTTTATGCATCCATATTATACATCGAGTACATCGAGTTTGTAAATAAAAAAAATACATAAATAAAAAAAAAAAATAATAAATATATATATATATATATATATATATATATATATATATATATATATATATATATATTAAAAACAAGGGAACATTTTAAAATCTAAAGCGTTTTTTGAGGTGAGGTAGAGAAAAACTTCCTGATTTACATGTTTTAAAAAAACACCTGAACTGATGAGAGCAATGGGATTTAAATCAGGGTTTGAATGGAGACAAAGCCGTTCTCAAGCACATATCATTGTGCTCATTCTGAGCCTGGATCCCTATTTATTTTTTATGTTTATGGTGGAAAATCCTGCTTCACAGCAGCAGGTTGAGGGAAACATACGCTAAATGTTCAGGCTTCGGTCCGGCCAGGTCAAGATTGCGATCACACCTAACATCGAAAAGAACGCCGAGAAGATACGTTTTGTCAACTTAAAATATAGTAACAACAGATCGGTAATTACAAATCAGAGCATAATTCTTATATATATATATATATATATATATATATATATATATATATATATATATATATATATATATATATATAAAAAAACAACATGCTCTCCTCGAGCTCCGGGGATAAGTCAGAGCTTAGCAAGACGGGAGGAGGGGGCTGTAGGCTTTGCTTTGCGCAGGAGGTCTGGATGGCTATGGGGCGGAGCGCTGTCGAAGGATGTGGGATTTCGGGGTAACAGGAGAAGCGGCGCAAGTGACATTTAGACACTGTTGTCAAACAACATGTAATTTATAAATGTTGTGAATCAGGTTGAGTCCGGATCCGAACCGCGGTCCGCTAATCCCTGATCTCTGCTCTTGTACAACATAGAGTCCTTTGGATTCAATGTTAGAGGAGCCAAATTACAGAGAAAATTATATGTTTTTAAAAAGCTTATGCAGATTAGTTGGCAGTAAGATTTAAATATCAGGTCCCTACAAACAAAAAAATGGTTCTTAGATTAAATCTTTTAATGAAATCTTAGTGTTAGATTAAATCAACAATGACAGAACTGTTTATAATAAGTTAGATTATTTTCATTGTTTGAAGTTTCTTTCACAAAAAGGATGAAGTAAATGACATTGGGTCACACTAAAGGTTAATTTAATTTAATTCAGCTGAAACTGATGAACTCTGATTACAGCTGATACCAGCTTGTATCCTTCCTCTTAACTTTCCCCAAAGGATGTGTAGAAAATAAAAACAGAATAATCCGTAGTTTAAGTCAATTTTAACCAAATGATGCCAACACATCAAACCTTAAACTGTTCTTTAACCCGTGATCTCATTTCAGAAGGGGATAGTAGCAATGAGGAGTTACAGGCTGAGGTGACCCAGCTGAGGGCGGAAGAAGAGGATAGAAAGAAAGAACTAGAAGAGCTGAAGAGCGCCCTGAAGAAGGAGAAGATGGAGGCCGAGAAAAGACAACAAAGTTTTATAGAAAAAGACAAAGAAGTGAAGGAGCGTACGGCTGCCCTGAAGGAAATTAGAAGGGAGATGGAGGAGAAGGAAAGAGAGCTAGAGGGGATCAGAAAGGAGCTGGATGAAGTTAACAGGCTTCTGGAGGAGAAGAGCACAGAGGCTGACGAGAGCATAGAAAAATACTGCAGCCTGCTGGTTAAAGTCCATAAGCTGGAGGAGAGCAATGATGTGCTGAAGTTACGACTGGAGCAGGTTACTTCAAGCCGATGTCCTAACGAAGCCAAGATCCCCTCGGAGACTCGCCGGTGTTCAGCAAGACGTTCTTCCTCTAAACATCAGGAAGAAAAAAACAATGAAAACACAGAGAATGCAGTTGTTCATACAGTAGCAAGCTCTCCTCAGGGATCCTTTCAGGGGAAACGGTGTCATAAAGAAATCAGTGACAGAGACAGTGTCCAGGAGGCGCTACACAACCTGACAAAGAAGCTCAAAGCCAACGGCATGACACCCAGACCAAGAGGTGAACAGCAGGATGAAGAGTTCAGACCAGAGGGCCTGCCTGACCTGGTGCAGAAAGGTCAGGGTTGCGTAGTTTCTTGATGAGTGCAGAAAATCATTGAGGTGTTTCTCTGTTTGCTTGGCCCAGCCTCTAGAATCAGGTTTTTATACTTTACTCTTTTGACATATTTTGTTCAGGGTTTGCTGATATTCCTATGGGAGAAGCCAGTCCATATATCATCAGGAGGACCACAGGGCGGCGCTGCAGTCCTCGGCTGGCTGCAAGGCAGACTCATGCTGATATAAAGGTGAGCAGCTGTCCATCAGTCTTCCTCTTCCTCCCCCACACAACAGTATTCCTCTGAAAACCAATCGGATCGGTTAAAACAGATTGGAGCTAATTTTAAAGGTCATAGCTTTATTAAAAAGATTTATTTTTTTTGTTCAAAATAAACTCATTCAATCAACACCTATGCAGAATAAAATTGTTGATTTGCTGAAAACAAGACACAAATATTTATTTCACACATTTTGACAGCTCCAAAATATATAAATATTTACTTCTGGTTACCTTGCATACATTGATAGAAAGGATTCTACACTAATAGGAATAGTGGGTTTTAATCAGGTGAAATGGATCTCAGACCATTCCAGATCAGAGTAGATGGAGCTGAGAAATGGCTTCTTCTCTGCATTACATTTCTCAAAATTACAGCCAAAAATAATAATCAAGGCTGGACATCAATCATGCTTTTGAGTGTCTGTCCTGACTTTAGGAAAGAAATGGCCTCAGAAGCCGTGGTAGCTTTATTAACTTTTTATAAACAATGATCTCTTTCCCAAAATGGTATTTATTTTAACTGAATAAAAGCCTCCTTTTTATTGCATCCTACAAAGTAAAGTTTAGTTTCAAAAAAATATGTAAAATTGAGCTATTATTTATAGATTTAAAAACCATCTATCTAGAACAGGTGTCTGCAAGTCTGGAGCCACAAAAGCCCCTTTAGAAACTCATCAATGCCTCTTCATCACTTTGGCTAAAAAGGAGGAAGAACAAGCAAGTTTTTTTTTAAAAAGAAACATATTTATCATTTTTACACCAAGTATACATATAAAAAAAGGCCAAATCTAATTATAACAAATGTTTTTGATCTTTTTCTTTGTCATAAATGTTTGTTAAATATATTTTATTTTTCTAATAATTTGATGTTTGCTGCTGTAAACATGTTTTATTAGCAGGATTGTCCATTTTCTTTTCGATTTACAAAATAAACTGACTTAAATTATATCATAAATATATTTTTTTACGTTGGCTTTTTTAACATAACTGTAAATGTATCACTAACCTGTTTTTTCTATTTAAAAAAATGTAAAGATGGTTTTTGTGTCTAAACGTGTTTTATGTACAGATGTATGGATAGATAGATATAGATATCTAGATATTTAGATGGATAGATTGATATTTATAAAGGGAAAACTTAGATTTTTTTATTTTTTAAAACAGAATTTTCCAAAAATACCAGCAAACCTACTGACAATGTATTTACTCTCTTTTTGCAAGTTTTTTCCTTAATTTCAGTACCTAAATAATGAAGTGGCACTGTCACGCCATTTCTGACTACCACTGTTAAGTGAATATTTATTTTGAATTCTCCTTTTCTATAACCCTCAGGTTTTGGGGCCTATCCAGACTCCTCCTGGTTCATCAGCAGAAACCCCTGGCAGGACACGCATGCCTCTACATAGCGAACAGAAACCTTTGCATTCTCCACTGAATTTAGAGATGGAACCAGAAAAGAAGCAAGTTTTAGTTGAGCAAACAAAACAAGGAGAAAACTGTCATGTTCAGTAGATCACTGCAAACACACAGAAATACACCAGGGTCCACATGTTAAACTTAAATCACGGATCTCCTTAAAATTTCACCTAGAATTTTGTATGTAGCACCTCAAATGTACATTTTTATTAATTTTAGTTTGGTGAGAAGGAAACTACACCTTTTACCTTAGCTGAAATGGATTTTCTGGCTATTCTTCTTGCTCTGTAGAGCAAGAGGCAAACCAATCGTGGATAGAGGAGTGCTAATGATCTTATTTTTAATAAGATCAATCGTATTTATAAAGAATCCCATAAAATTACAGCAAGTGGAATGCTATCTTTACCCTCAGTACCGCCACCACCATCCTCACCTCCCGTTCAGTCACCTGGAGGGGGACTGCATGCTGGATTGGCTGGGACTGGTCTAAAAGACTTGTATGAAGGGTATTTCACAGCAACACCAACTGCAGAAAGAGGCTGAAATAGCAGAAAGGGGGTCTGTCTGAACAAGTCTGCTAGACCCTGTAGAGCTAAGGGTTTGAAATTCTGCATCAGGTGTAAAACTTTGGTGAGTTAGATCTGGATGGGTTCTGCTGTCATCATGAAGATAAAAAAACAACAACTTAATTTTGATCTTTCATATCAGATTAACTTTGATTAGTAACATCTCTAGGTGTTCTGCTGCTGGGCTGGGGTGAAAGTATTTACTGGAAAAACTTGATTTTCATATACACAAAAAAGTATATATTCTGAGATAAAGATGACCACAATTTACTGCAGAATAAGGAATAGTCATTAATAAGACACTATCTCCTGCATTTAAATTACGTGCAATAGACAGGGCTGCTCGCTCTCAACCTTGCGCAGTCAATTCGTGCCAACCCCCTTATACAGGGATACATTACTAAAGGGACTATAAATAAAATTTCTTAATATTCGGATGATATCTTACTGTTCATAACCAATCTTCATCGTACTATACCAACATTCCCCAGATACAAACTCTGTTTGGCAGGTTTTCGGGTTATAGAATCAAGTGCTCTAAGAGTGAACTGATGCCAATTAAGCACAAAGACTCTTCGATCTTGGAAAGTATGCCATTTAAAATTGATAACAATAAATTCACCTATCTTGGAATAGACATTACTAGGGACTTTAATTTGCTGTATGAAGCTAACAAATATCCGTTTCATAAGATCAAACTTGTCACTCCAGGTGGCTAAAATTTTCATGTTCAGTATTGTTCTGTCCTATATCCCCTACTGTCTTACAACCTGGTCACAGGCAAATAACTCCACACTAAAACCTTTAGAATCTCTTTACAAACAGACTAACAATTTTGGGTTATATATATATATATATATATATCTTTATGCTGTTTGTATTTGATTTTATGCCAGTCGTATCATTTTAATTGATCATATCCCCCCGGCCGGTCCGTGAAAATATTCTCTGACATATAGCGGTCCGTGGTGCAAAAAAGTTTGGGGACCGCTGTGTTAAACTACAACTCTGCTTCCTGGTCTGCACCCTGGGTGGTCAGGGTTTTGGAGGAATAATTAATGTGGCCAAATTCCTAGAAAGAAGAGCTGCACCACCCAAAGTGGGATGGATGATGAATGTTTGATTTATCTAAAGGTTTCACTGTGTAAATGGGTTTGGCTGTAATTTAAGGACAGATTCTAATAAATCTGCAGTGTGGGGACTATGAATCTGATAGGATTTTAATTTTTTTATTGCTGTTTTACACAATATGCTTAACTAAGTATTTTTTGTTGTTGAATATTATAGATTTTGCAGAAATATTTTTTATACATACATTGTTTGTTTTATAGAATAGAAAATCCCTTTATTGTCCTACAATGAGCAAATTTACAGCAGTAGAAAGATTATTGAAAATGGTCACACAAATGTGGACCTTAGAAAAATGTATAAGACTAACATAATAGGGAAGAGTTAAAATATAAACAATACAATTCTGTAAAGTGTTTTAACAATATAAAACTGGAGAATAAATAACCAATATGCAGCTATGGACATTTTTACAGTAATGGATATTTGAAAATAGCAGCAACATGAGAGATGTGCAAAATGACAGCAGCATGTTATTTAACTGACTAAAGTTTCTATCATTACATTTGCTTTTATTTGTTCCTGCTCCCGGTGGTTGGAACATTTATTCCACTCTGGATTCTTGTGAGGGTAGCCTTTGTTCACTTTCTAATAAAAAATAAATAGGCTAAACAAACAGTTTTGAAAACTTCAGTATTCATTCTTTTCCTGCTTTGTGTGTCAACTTCACGGTCGCTAAGCAACAGAGCATACAGCGGTAAAACCTGCCGAAGGGTAGACCTGTTCGAATTCACAGCCAAAACACTTCCAGTGTCCTTATTTTCACGGACTTCGAAGGATCCAGTCTAGGTAAACCGCGTCCTTGGAGGATGCAGCCCAGGATTTCGAACAGAGCCATCTTTTGTGGGAGCCGGGGTGCCCGGAGAGAACCCATGCATGCAGCATTCATGCATACACACACCTGAGGAGAATTTAGAGAAGCCATTTAACCTATCTGATTTCTTTTGTGGGAAGCCGGGGTGCCCGGAGAGAACCTAGATTTGGATAATAGAAGTAACTAGAAGGATGCTAAGGGATAGGAGACTGGCACAAGGGGGCAACAAAGAGTAACTCAATACGTGCATCTTGAATAGAACACAAAATGGAAAAGAAAACAATGACCAACAAAAGGACTTTAGTATCTCTTAGAACATCTTTTGGGTGATTTTGGGTAAACGGACAGGTTTGGGGGGGTCTCTGGAAATATATTCAGGGAATGGATGAATTGGAAACAAGCCGTGACTTAATATTTGTAGCTGTTCCTTTTTCAGGATGGGGTTTGCTGACGTTTCTACCTCTTAGCTATTAGATACATTGGAATACAGACCTTGTTCCTCCTTTTGATCCTCGTTTTCTCAAGGATTTTTGAGAGGGGTGTACAAGGCTGATGGGGATTTTGGGCAACTATTGGAGGGAGTCGACAAAGATTCCTGTTTAAAGCTACGGGATCTACCAATCGTTCAGACCTATGGAATCTCAGTGGGGCATCAGTTTTTGCCTCTCTTTCTTGCTGTAGTCTTTCTGCAGCTTGTCTCTTCAAAGACTCAAGGGTTTTCTGTTCCTGTATAGCTCTTGCCTCGGCCTCTTGTTTGTAAGTCTCATTAAGTTGATCAAATACCACTTTACGTCTTTGGTTTTTAGTTGGCAATTCTGGGTCTTTGTAAGGCGGCTTTAGAAAAAATGTTGAATTGTTCTTGTAAAAATGTATTTTTTCTTTCTCCATGCGTTTCTCAAATTCCTTCTGTCTTGCTTCTTTAAGATTTGAGTCAGCATAGCCCTTACGTATCCTCTTTTCCCTTGCAGCCTGTACTTTCTCCGTCTCTATTTCGTCAGCCTCAATTTGAAGCCTCTTCTGTACTATTTTAGTTTCATACTCTCTTTCTTCAAGTTTGGCTGCTTTTTTCTCAGTAGCAATCCTAAAATTTTCGTTAGCATCTATGTTGTATTGTTCTGCTGTTGGAGTACAGGGCTCTTTTAGGGGTTTGGACCTATGGAATCTCAGTGGGGCATCAGTTTTTGCCTCTCTTTCTTGCTGTAGTCTTTCTGCAGCTTGTCTCTTCAAAAGGTCAAGGGTTTTCTGTTCCTGTATAGCTCTTGTCTCGGCCTCTTGTTTGTAGGTCTCATTAAGTTGATCATATACCACTTTACGTCTTTGGTTTTTAATTGGCAGATCTGGGTCTTTGTAAGGCGGCTTTGGAAAAAATGTTGAATTGTTCTTGTCAAAATCTATTTCTTCTTCTTTCTCCATGCGTTTCTCAAATTCCTTCTGTCTTGCTTCTTTAAGATTTGAGTCAGCATAGCCCTTTAGTTTCCTCTTTTCTCTTGCAATCTGTACTTTCTCCGTCTCTATTTCGTCAGCCTTAATTTGAAGCCTCTTCTGTACTATTTTAGTTTCATACTCTCTTTCTTCAAGTTTGGCTGCTTTTTTCTCTGTAGCAATCCTAAAATTTTCGTTAGCATCTATGCTGTATTGTTCTGCTGTTGGAGTACAGGGCTCTTTTAGGGGTTTGGACCTATGGAATCTCCATGGGGCATCAGTTTTTGCCTCCCTTTCTTGCTGTAGTCTTTCTGCAGCTTTTCTCTTCACAGAGTCGAGAGCTTTATGCTGCTGTATAGCTCTTGCCTCGGCCTCTTGTTTGTAAATGTCATTCATTTGATCATATACCACTTTACGTCTTTGGTTTTTAATTGGCAGATCTGGGTCTTTGTAAGGCGGCTTTAGAAAAAATGTTGAATTGTTCTTGTCAAAATCTATTTCTTCTTGTTTCTCCATGCGTTTCTCAAATTCCTTCTGTCTTAATTCTTTAAGATATAAGTCAGCATAGCCGTTACGTATCCTCTTTTCTCTTGCAGCCTGTACTTTCTCCGTCTCTATTTCGTCAGCCTCAATTTGAAGCATCTTCTGTACTATTTTAGTTTCATTCTCTCTTTCTTCAAGTTTGGCTGCTTTTTTCTCAGCAGCAATCCTTACATTTTCGGCCTGGTAAGGTTTCATGTGGTAATTTTCTGTGGTTGCATGACAGGGATAGTTTTTTAACTGATCATATACAATTTTTTTCCTTCTTTCCCTTTCAATGACCACTTCCCTGTCTCTGTAACACTTTGAAGGCTTTGAAAAAAACATATTTGTTTGATTAAAGTCATTTTTTTCTGCTCCTTTCTTCCCAGCAATCCTTTCATTATAAGCCCTGTTATTTTCCATGTTGTCTCTATTGTTTGAAACAGTACAATAATGTCTGCGTTTATCTAATTTTTTTTTTTTTTTAAATAGTATAGCAGCAAACCTTCCGAACAATCCGCGTGAATCGGCTCTCAAACGAAGAATGGCTAAGACCTTCGAATTCAGGCGTTGATACTTTCCTGCATAGAACCCTGTGACGTCACGGGCTTTGACTGTGGGCGGGAATGTTCTGTTCTCGAACGTTACGTCACCATGCCGCGCTATATAAAGCTGTCGCGATATTTATCTTTAAGCAATGGCACCTCGCGTTCTGGCTGGAAACGCGCGGTGACGTAAAAAACGCGCGCTCGCGTAAAATACGTGCGGTGGCGTTAATAACGTTTGGTGGCGTTTTTTGCATATTATATCATCAGGAGGTTGTCTTTTAGGTGCTCAGCCACTAGATTTAAAGGTGTTTTACCCAATAAGAACACTGCAGCACCAAACATCACCAGGAGATCCCTGATCGTTGGGGAAAGGCAGAAAGAAGATGCACCTTCCTTTCTGATCCTGTCTAAATCCTGTTTAGTTCAATAATAAAGTCTGATATTACGCAAAACTCACTCTGCTTGTTCTCCCTACTTATGCCCTTGGTGCGGAAGATAAATGAAATCTTTAACAGAAAAGTTATTATTAATTCTGAAAATATAATCATGTGAATATAAATACAAAGCATACAAAAAATGCAGCTTTATTAAGTGACCTGGTTTATTTTATTTAGCTTTTAATTTCTTTTCAACAATTAGTCATACTACTTTGCTTGTGCTTTGGTAGTTTCATGTTTAAAATGACAAAAGAAATATGAAAAAGCTTATGGTCGTCAAGTTGTACTTATTCTCATATGACAGCAGATGGCAGTGAAAGCCCAAATTCATGAGATTAAATATTTGAAGTCAATTTTTAAACGTCTGTCTACCACTTTTTTGTGATTTGAATCA